GGGCAGCAATGTGCCACGTGCAGATGGCGGCATTGCCACGAACCTTGTTGGGCAGCGCCAGCGCCATAAGTGGCAGGTGTACCACAGCACAATCCTCAACATAGGGGTGGGGGTGCGAGCCTCGCACTGGGGTGGGATTGCTGCAGGCCATGGTGTGATCATTGTGCTGAGGTGGCAGCATGAGCTTTGTGCCAGGGCAGCATTGCCACGGGCCATGGCTCAATACTCACATGGGGCGTGAACCTTGTGCCAGGGTGGCATCATGGCAGGCTGCAGAGCAATCCTCGCGCAAGGGGAGTGGCATGACCCTCGCCCCGGAGTGGCAATGCAAATCTCACGTCAGGGCAGCATTGTTACAGACTGCAGCACAATCCTCGTGTGGCAGCATGAGCTTCACACCCGGGGGCGGCATCCCTGTGGGCTTCATTCTAGTGGTAGCATCGCCGCAAGCCTGACAGCGATGGTGCCATAAACTTCACACAGGTGCCACCGTCACTGAGAGCCTCACGAGCATGCTCGCAGCCCCATTTGTGTGCTGCGCATGCTCATAGCCTGTTTGTATGTGCACATGCACATGTGCGCGTAAGGCGCCTGCCCCTCCCTCTTCCACCAGACCGCCAATCCAAAAAGGTTGATGACCCCTGGTATAACTCTTTGGACGGAGTTTTAGACTTGGTTTCACTTTTGACAGTGCTGATATATTGCATCCAGTAAACATATTCTTTGAGGAAGCTCTCTAGCCTTGGAATTCTGATTTGTTTGGCTCTATCTATCGGAACCTTGACAGATACCTTAGATACTTTAGAAAAGCATTACTGTATAGACTTACAGATAAGCTCTTTCTAGGATCAGCCAAATCCATTTTTTGTGGTGTACTTTAACACATCAAATTCTTGGCTTCTCAGTGAGTATTATAGAATATATAGTACCAATTTTTTTTTCAAACTTGCTTCTTGCAATGGCAGTGCTCAACCCAAAGCATGAAAGACTGGAGGTCTTAAACCTCTTCTCTCAGAAATCTCCTGAATCTACACAACCTGGGCCAGCTTCCTGCTCTAAAATAGCTTTTGAACATATTGCTGCCATCACATGCCCAGTAAGGCTTCCTATTGCTACCCGGAGGCCTCATTAGGCATCCTCCACTCTAGCTTTGACTTGTGGGAGAGAAAGGCAGCTCCTAAACCTTTTTATAGTGGAGTATAAAAATAATTATTACAGAAATAATTTTAATACAATTGCTTACCCGTGTGCTACAGAGGTATATGACGCTAGATTCTTGTCATGTCACCCCTCCTTGGAAGTGAGATGAATCTCACAAGAAATAAACAAAATCAAATAATACTTTTTTAAAAACAAAACTAACATGGCATACAAAACCTTGTTTATAAAAAAAGTGCAAGCTTATAAGAAATCATAAAATGGGACAGCTAAGATTAATGAGGTAAGAGAATTTCTGCTTTACCCCACATGTTAATTTAAAAAAGCATGTTACAGAAAATGTCCCTGTTGTAGAAGAAACAAGAACAAGTCTTAACTAGCATATCTAGACAAATGAAGATAATTTAAAACTTTGAATTTCCATTTCCATCTCTGTCTATGGAGATTCTCAGTCATCCAGGTCATAGTTGTCCCAAAAGTGCTTTTTCAAAAGACAACTGAACTTTTGAAAAAACAATTTTGGGATTTCCATCTCTGTTTCAATTTTAAAGCTGAAAACCATACCTTGAAAATTCAACTAATTTATTTGTTGTATGGTTATAAACCAAATGAAACGTATGGTGCTTCATGGACCACAAATAAAGAATTAAAATCTGAATATACCGGTAAGTCTCTCTGTGTTATAAACTAACACATCACATCTATCTCTAAGAATGTGAAGCCAGCAAAGGTAAAAGTCCACACAGCTACCAGTAGTTGTAATTTAACACCTTGAGCCAGTCACTCATTTTCAGTTACAGGAAGAATGCAATGGCAAACCATTTCCAAAAACCTTGCCAAGAAAACTGCAGAGACTGGTCTAGGCCTTTGCCAGGTATCAACAATGACTGGAAAGCACAGACATACAATCACAATGCACTTCCTCAATGTAAGGCTAGTATAAAATTGAATCATTCAACCATAAACATCTGGACAATATTGTCTCAGTTAAATGTACTTGTATGCCATTTTGGGGTTCTTAAAATAACCTTTTGGAAAACAAATATTCACCAAGCCAGAATTTAAACCTCAAGTCTTTGTTAATTTAAGATGAAGTAATGTTGCTGAAAGCCAACTCCAACTCTCTACTAAATCACTGTTGAACAGAAATTGTTATCTTCAATGGCCATATGCACAAGAAAGGAAAGGATACACAGAAGGAGGGGGAGAAAAGAGAGACCAACAGCCTCTCTTTCCTGCAGTTTTTTAAAACATCTTTGAAGTAATGGCAAGATAATAAAGCTTTCATTTTTACACTTTATTATCCAAAAGGGAAGTTCCACAGTTAGATTTAGATTTGAGGGTAAGTCCTAGTGAAGTTGATGCAAACAGCACATTGTTATAAGGGAAGCAAGTGATCTTTGGCTTTCCATGTCTCATTTATCAATTGAAATTAAAAATATTTTTGGCATTTTAAAGATTTTTAATATTTAAACATGTTAAATAGTAGGAAAAATATTACTTTTTCATGTGGACTTCCATTTGGAATATCACATTTACCAACAGTGCAAAAATGCAGAATCCTACCTTCTTACAATGAAACTATTCTTTCCTCTCCCCATAATACTTTTTTCTTTAAAAAAGATACCGCTGCTGTAGGTATTTTACTTTAAAAACAAGATTTTTCTTTTTAATTTTACTTTAAAAACACACCTACTAAAATGCAGCAGAGCTGGAATGTTCAGCAATATTAAACCAAATTACTTGATTTAAAGGCGAGAATGAGAAGAGAGGATTATGGGATTGGAAATTGGAAGCTTTAGAAAAATATTTGATATAAAACAGGGCTGGATTGATCCCACATAAAATTGGGCACATTATAGCAAAATTCACACATGACAATGGCAAGTAAATTATCTGGGGGAAACTGTAGCCAGATGTGTGTATACAGTAAAGGAGTAAATTAGATTTCAAAGAGATGGACATCCCACAAAGCAACAGGAAGCTCTCCCCAATTCCTATTCTTAGCTTAATGCATTAACTTCTGCATAACACTGAACAATGAAGTAAAACAGAAAGTACACATTATTTTGGCACCCAGTGACATCTGCTGGTTTTACTCTTCACCGTTGGCCATTGTACATTTGATAATTAAGTTAAAGAGCACAGGATATTCTTTGAAGTGGGATGCGTAGTGAATCATGCATATTGTATCATTTCAAACATGGGAAAAATTCTGAGAGTTTAAAAGCAAAAGTGTTTCTCTTACCCAAACAAAAATGAGAGACTGAAAATTATATGAATAGTAGTTTCCCAAGTACTCACCTTCTCTGCAAAGATACAGACATGTATCTGATGATAGATTCTGCCAAGAAACAATTGGCATACTTACCAAAGCTCACTATTAAATTTCAGCTAACTGGTTGTAAGGATTTCAGCATTAAAAGTCTTCATCAGGGTCCAGTCCAAGCCGGGAATAAACAAAATAGAAACTGCTTTAGAAAGAAGATTGTGTTTTATTGAAGAGCAAAGCCAGACAGAAGCTTGGCTTTGGGAAAGCTGACCACATGTTGCTGGGAGTGGAGGATTTTTATACTTTCAGGGGCTCTTGAGGTTGTTTCCTGTTCCTCTTTGAGGCTTTGTATTCCCTGTGACATGTACTTTGACCTGAGTCTAAGTGTGCCCTTTTGGTATTGGTGGGTTAATCCTATTATATCCTGAAGGATCATGTCTTTTAGAGTTTGGGTGGGGTATGTAGATTTTAGGGGTCTTTGTCTTCCTAATCTCATCAGCTTCCAGCTTCGTGGCTCCACCTTCCTGAATAGGATTATCACATCTGCATTTCTAAAAGCCGGCCTCTGCCTAGTTTCTACTTGGGGCTATTAAGAAAAACTTCCTTCTCTGGGGGGTGACCTCCCACAACAGCAATGGCAAGGAGGGGCTCCTGATGAATTGGAAATCCACAGGATACCACCCGCATGATTGTATAGGCGCATGATTCATTGTACAAAAGCATGTTGTTTTTGCTACTATGTGATTCATATAGGAATGAGTGAGGAAGGAGAAAATGTGACATTATTTGCACATTAACCACCAGAGTATATTTTTTCCAAGGCTGTTAGAAAAGACATATTCCTGCTCTCCTATTGGATGATGTGCAGTTACTATAATTTCAATTTTGAAAATATCTTGGTCTTCAGAAGGTAACACCTAATATATGATAATGATGATGATAAACTGAGTTATGAAAGTTCTAGAGAAGACTGCAGGATTTCCTATGCTCAGGTATCCTATTTAAATAGTGCAAATAATGTGCTAGTCATCACACATTAAATTCCCTTTCAGCTACAAATTGTAAATATTGCAGGCAAAAAGTCCTGGCACATCTGGTTGCTATTAAATGAGATGATGACTCATATTAAACTGTATACATTGTAGACACCAGCTTATATTAATTAAGCTCTGAAAGCAAGAATTTATTGATAACTCATTGGTTTTCAAGAATTAAAAATAAATGACAATACCTACTTTAAAGATATTTTTCTATTTTTCCTACCTTATTTTTGCAGCTAAAACATTATCTTGCCCTTTTAACTTTATTAACTAAAGCATCAATAAATATTTGTCCTCAGTAATTTAGTTCTTGTTTAGATAAACATATTAATTTAAAGGTTTTAATTCTATTCACATACTTTAAAAATATTTCCCAAATTAATCTGGAACCTTACAACTACAGTAACAGTTCACAAAAATTAATCAATTTTATTAATATTATTTAAATGCAGAGACTGCTATCTTATGTCTTGTATATTAATATGTATTGTATATTAATCTGCATAATCTTCAATCAAGATTAAGGTTTCTTAAAGTCAAAATATATTTATTTTATAAATTCCTGCTTGCAGACGCTGTTGGTTTTCTTACAAATTACTGAGCTAGAAAAAATAAAAAAGTTATTGAGGTTTAGTCCTTGCTATAACCATCATACTTAAAACTTTTCCACATCATTCAGAAGAACATGGAGCAAAACATTGTAGATTTAGATAGAAAGAAGATAATTTCTAAATCGTATGAATATACTTAGTACATTTCTGTATATGCACAAAAACATGTAGACTCTTCATTGTTAAGATCAATTTTATCTGTATGTGACAATTATTTTTTTCACCCCAACGGGTGCACAAAGGGAAACCAATCTCCACCAATACCAGCTTAGTGGACATGGTTGGGATGTAATTTACTGAGGGAGCCACTGCAACAGTGCAACACATGTTCTTATCTCAACCTAGGATTTACTGAACATAACTTTGAGCTGTTCAATTTAAGCCATTATTTTCTCTACAACCATTATGAGGCAAATGCAGGGGTTATTGGCTACTAGAAAAATATTTAGGGGGAAAGCTGAAGATATAAAGACAATTTAAAGATGGTCAACCTAGCATAGTTGTGTATTATAAATATGGCTTGTTTTTGAGGAAGTAAATGTGTTTGCTTACTTTTAATTCATATTTGATTAATTTTTGGTGGGAGACCTGGGCCCAGAATGATGACATTTGCCATTAGGGTAGAGCTGTTCAGCTTGGCATGAAAACCAACTACAGCTTCTTATCATTTCAGTTCCAGCTCCATCCCAGCAGTTACAAAATCCTGAAGCCTTAAACATTTAAATGGAGTTGAGATTTCATACATTCTAGACTTGTGGAATTTTGCCTTTTATTTCCTAAAAAAGCAAGTACAGGTAGTCCTCGGCTTACAACCACAATTGAGCCCAAAATTTTTGTTACTGAGTTTAGTTTTGTCTCATTTTTACGACTTTTCTTGCCACAGTTGTGAATCACTGCAGTTAATTTAGCAAGTGAATTTGGCTTTCCCATTGACTTTGCTTATCAGAAGATTGCAAAAAGTGATCACATGACCCCAGGACACTACAACAGTTATGTAAGTCAGCTCCCAAGTATTTTCTAGCACGTAATATGAATTTTGATCATGGGGATGCTGCAATGGTTGTGAAAACAGTCATAGGTCACTTTTTTCAATGCCATTGTAACTTTGAACCATCACTAAATGAACTGTTGTAAGTTGAGGACTACCTGTATATAAAATAACCCCTTACTTCAGTTCAACAGGACTCATTTGCAAACAAAAACTTATACCAGCAAGCAAAACTTAAAAAAACACAATTACCCCTTTGCATGTATTTTCTAAAACAGAATGTTGAAGTGATAATTAAGGGAAGAATTGATACAACTTGAACGTTACAATAAATGGGGGGGGGGCAGATTGGAGATTGTTAAAGCATCTCTTAAAGCTTATTTGAGAATTAGTGGATAACAGTTGATTCAAAAAATTCTAATATTTAACGGATGGGTCTTCCATGCTTATAACTCTAGTTTTCAATGTCACAAACTAAGAACTGGCAAAATAGACTATGACCATATAGAATTGCATAAGATATGCAGTTTTAATTTTTTTCTAGCACGTAATATGGAGTTTAATAGCGAACATGAACTTTCATACCCAGAAAGCCATTCATGAACCCAATTCAATACCTAGCACCCAAAATCTAGCTTATTCCTTTTACCTTGATGCATTTACTTCTGTAAAGAGTGGTGTTATGAAACAATAATGCATTTTTCGCTATAGCTCAAAAACATTTGAAATTTCTAATTGATTATAAACTAAAGTATAAAAACTGAAAGATTTAACTATGATTTTAGAAGTTCTGGATCTTAACATTGCTTTACTTTCTAAAATTTCAAAAGATTATTAAAGCATAGTAAATTTTCAATTCTTCCCTGTCAAGTGCTTGCAGAGGAAAAAAAAAAGCATATCACCTAAGAAAATCCCAAGTCACCATAGATGCTTCTCACTTTACTGATTTTTGTTACATCTGTTATTATTGTTCCTTCATTTATTTGGAAAAGGGCAGGATGATTTTAGGATACTATGTTAGTTAAATCACACTGTTGTCCTCAAAAATATAATCTTTAGTATTCAGAAGGGAAAAGTGTGGTCACAAAGGTATTGACCCCCATCTAATTTCATAGTTTTAAGGTTGTCTTTACCCACCTGAAAGCCAAAAATTATGTTTATGTATAGTATGTGTGCATGCATACATTTTTGTGTGTATGGGATGCATATTCCCTTGCGTGTGGCGAACACATATTTGTAAGGTTTTTAGCAGGCCATCTAAATCACACTTATTTGGAACATGGATTTTCTTTGAGTGATGAGACTGACAGAAATGTGCTGTAGAATTTGTTTTGCTTGCACATCCAAATACAGAGTTCCTCTGCTCACTTATTGTGATTTCAAGTCCATTTATATTCACCAAGTGACAATAGATAATCTGTGCCCAAACCGATACTTGGACAAGGGTAGCAAGACCTGATTTTCAGAAGAGTTCACACACTGGCGCTTCTTTTTAAGAAACAGAACAATTTTCTGAGCCTGTTAACAATAGCCAGGGAAGGAAGCAACAAGAGAAACTTGACCTGGAAACAATCACACCCTTCCTTTATGTCAACCAGATGAAAAATCAGGAACAAATGGTGGCAGAGTGGCTTATGGCTCTTTTATCAATGAAGACAGAATTTGTCTTTCCCCATGTCCTGTTTTGGCCACTAGAGCTGACAGGATTGAAAATGTCTGTCTCTTTTTTCATGGTGAATAGGAGGTGAAATACACATCTAATTTATTGTTTCAATCCTTTCCAGGCAAGGGTTCAATCATACCTCCTATAGTCCTGGGCAGGATCCCTGAAAATTAAGGTTGCCAATTATTCTAAATCATACTTAACTGGTTGTGATTATAAAAATGTAGAAACATTGTAAGAACAGTAAGTTTTTCAATAAAAAAGCAAAAAAGGTGAAAAAACAAAATAGAAAAAAGTTATGTCTTAAAAACTTAATTGTCCAATGAATGGTTTCTGATTTGAAGATAGTAACTGTTATTTTTTCCCCAAATATATTGGCCTATTTGAAGATGATTTAGGAGCTTATTCTCAAACCTTTGCCTTATATGATTGCCACCCTTTTAAAAAGTTCAATGTAGCTATGAAATCCAAGATTGGAATCTTTCACTTCTGTTATCACTTAACTTTGTTTTATTGCAATACCTACATACAAAATATTATTAACTTCGCCTATGATTTAGAAATTGGCTATTTGTAATTTATATGCTTAGCTAGTTTCTCCTAAATCATAGCCTAATTTACAGAACTTCCACAGATATTTAAAAGCCATGCTAAAGAAAAGAGGGGATTGGGGCAGGAAAAGAAAACTTGTGTGCCTGGTCCTTTCCTGACACATTTCTATTCAGAGTTGAATGAAAATTCAGCTCAGTGTGTTCAAGACATGTTGAGAAAAAAAGCATATATCTGTATTTCTCCATTACACAGTCTCACAGAAATCATTTTTTCTCAAGATCTTAAAACTACTGGATTCTGCATTCGTTAAAAGACATGTAAAGAGGCTAATGTCAAAGAGGGAACGTTTTGTTGTAAAAAAAGATGGTTGTCTTACTTGGTTTATAAAATATTTTTTTTAAAAAATGCTAATGACACATATGATCCCCACAACCAACCACCCCTCTCAAAGACAGTCAACAAAATGCCCCATTTTGGTACAATTATTGGTCACTTCATTGTAAAAAAAAATATATATATTAACAACAACATCAACCCAAAGGGGTCTGGCTACTACGGTCTTTTATCCAAATGCTGGTCAGAAAAATGACAGAAAAGTCCATTCCAGCAAAATAAAGTCAGTCACTTGGAGTTCTTGAAATTCTCTCCATCTTCAACAGTATGCCAGACATTCCCCCTTTGCAAAAAAATAAAAAATAATAAAAAAATCCTGTTCTTCAGTCCCTCTTCTATCCCTTGACCCTTGCAACACACTCACACAAAATATGACCCCCCCACAACCCCCATTTCCCTCAGCAGGAAATGCTGGATATCCAGTTTGTCACAGGAAATTGCTAAGTGCAGCTGCAGCCATTTTGTTTTCTTTTTCTTTCTCTTTTGTCAAAATGTGAAAGATCAAGACTATACAAGATTGTCCATTTTAAGGATTGATAGGGCTCACTAGCAAATTGCCATGGCTCGTGCTCTTTCACAATCCATCTCTCCTTGGCTGTTTGCTGGGGTTGACGGAGAAAAAAGGGGGAAACGTCTCATTGCCATGTTGTTGTTTAAAAAAGAATTTGTACAAAGTCCCAAGCTGGTGGCTAGAACTGGGGGTTGAAAGAGGGATGAAAATGAGAAGGAGAAAAGAAGTTAAAGGGGTCTGGATTTTGCAATGACCCCTGTTATCTCTCATAAACAGAGATTTAAGGGGAGGGAGAAAGAAGGGATTATATAATGAAATTAGTTTCCCACACTATCATCACCCACAAAAAAAGGAAAAGTACACCCCTCTGCTGGTTGTCAGCTATTGTGTATCCTGCCCCTTGCTCCTCTCCCACACAGCTACACATTGTTAATGCAGTGTGAGGCTTGTGAAGAAAGGGTTAATTAAACCACAGTGATTTCCCCCCCCCCCCTCTGTTTCCTCCCCATCCCAGATCTCCAGCTGCAATGTTATTATTATCCGGAAAAAGAAAACCGAATAAAGTACAGTAAGGAAGGTGGAAGATGAAAGACAATTCAGTTGGAGTCCGAATCAGAAGAGTCTCCTGAAGAGGATGAGGAACTGCTGCTGCCTTCTGATTCATTGTCCTCATCATCGTCATCCTCTTCGTCATCCTCTTCTTCATTCTGGGAAAAGAAGAGGCGAGTTACAGAGCAAGCCAAAGGGTGGTGGTGATGGGGAAGGTACAATGAGAATAGGAAACACCCTTCCTGTAAATCTGACAGAAGGACAAGGACAAGTAGAATTCCAGTTTTTAAAAATCTCAGTATCTATTCACCCTTTCAAAAGGTTGTTAGCTCATAGGCCACAGACTGTCAAGCGGCAACTCAAGCTAACAAAGGCCAGTATTATATACAGTTCTATTCTGTATCTTTGCCATTCTTGTTGTGCTGTTGTCAAAACACAGCCAGGAGGATTCTTTAGATCTTGAAGGGGTTTGCCACCACTGTGACTCCAGGATGAATTAAACTATTGTTTCTCTGCTGATATTATTAGTGGGGAAGCAGCAATATTGATTGCTTGAGGATGGGTTAGAGGAACTGTTAAAATTCACTGTTGGGCAATCCTGTGTATGTCATGTTTTGGCTATTCACAAAAAAAGATAACCTCATTATGTCAATTAACAAACCTGCTCAATTTTTGTAATGTTACATTTGGCAGAATACAACTGCTCATTTTCCATTGTGTACAAAAACCAATGCAGATGTCCCAACATCTGGCTTCCATTAATTAGGCTGTCTCATTCTAGGTAGTAGGGGACCAACTATTGCTGCTCAGTATGAGGGAAAGCTTTCTCATCAATGTTCACAAGCACTATTAAGACTTTACAAACATAAAGTGTTTTAGTTCATACTATTCTATCATTGTTATTCTGATAACTATTTGTTAATGGGATCACTCATTAGTAGACAAAGTTGAGCCAGTAAGGAATCACTGCCCTAAAACTTGCCATTCTTACAGCTAAATTTGCCCAAAACGTTTGAAGTGACTTTTTTCAACTTCATCTTAAAGTAGTTTAAGCTTTTACTGGGTATTATCTGAGAAACATCTTTCAAAAAATAAACCATTTTTTAAACTATGGCTTTCTGGAATATTTCAGTTATATTTCACTAAGAGGAATCTAAAAGAAATTCCCATTGCCATGATGCTTTGTTGGAAGTAGAAACTGCTCTATTCTGAAGGAGATCATGCTGTGGTACTTTGAAGAAGCCACACTGTCTGAAGTTCTTGGGGATAAGCAGAGCCTTACCTCTTCCCCATCTTCACTTTCCTCTTCACTACTTGAATCTGAAGAGTCTCCTCCCTCCTCAGAGGAATCAGCATTCTCATCATCCTCTTCATCTTCCTCTTCATCCTCGTCATCATCATCGTCATCTTCATCCTCTTCCTCAGATTCCTGTGGATATAGAGAGTAGATTAAAAGGAAACTAGTTTTCAACCAAAGGGCAGGTATTCATGAGGCCCACAATGAATTAAATCTAAAGCAGCCGTAAACATATTCCCATATGTCTTAGTGCATAGTTAATGGTAAATATATGCAGAGTCATAACTTTCTCATTACTATGGTAATGGGAGTAATATAAAACAAATTTTAACTTTCTCTTTAATTGAGCTTAACTGATGGGACTGCAACTTAATTTGATTCAAATAAGCAGGCAAGCATTCCAAGGCACTTAGCAAATAACATCACTGACCTATGGCTGCAATGGATAATTTTTCCTTTATTGCTGATTGGCAGAAAGAGAGCTAATGGGAAAATTTAAAACTGTTGTACTAAGATCCAAAATAGGAAAGGTGCTTTGGATCTAGTGTGCCACACCTTTTCTTGCATAATAGCTGCCTTATCCCAAGAAAATATGGTTCTGAGTTATGAAGGTAGCAGATGGGTACAACCACAGGTTTATCACTCCATTTTCCTAGAACTACATAGCTGTCTTGAAAGATCAGGAGAAGACACAGTTTCTTTAAAGAACTGCAAAGTACTCCTCTAGATCTGAAGCAATGTTCCCACTTTGGGTATGAACATTGCACACTTCTGGAAGATTATATCTCTAAGAAAAAAGATAAAAAGGAAGTTCAGCTTGGATCATAGTGACTACGGCATAAGGATTAGCTAGAAGATCCATCAACTGTAGAAATATTGTTCTGCTCTTATTTCTGCTGAAACCACCCGCCCCATCCCAAACAATCAATTATTGGGTACATAGTTTCTGGATTTTACATTATTTTCAGGATTCCGTTACTACTTTGAAAATACCAGCTGATCTCAGGAATTCTTTGTTTGGAATTTTTCACCAGGTAATAATAGCTGTGTAACAGAGACATGGCACTATTAAGATACTTACTGATTTGGCTTGCACTGAAGGTTTCATTTTTGGATTTGGGCCTCGCATCTTTCCCATATTCTTACGTTTCTGATGAGATAGAAGTGGAAGGTCAGAGAGACAATCAACAAGAGAGACTACTCCTTTCACAAATCAGCCTAAAGGAAGCACAATTTCCCTTGGCTACATCTTTTACGCTTACTTATTTATAGCCTGTGACTCTCAAACTTACCTCTGAATATAATGGCACTGTGGAACCTGATGCCAAAATAGTGAAAAGGCCTTGAAGACAAAACTAACTTCACCATTCCACCCAAAGATAATGTTCAGCTAGAGAATTCTTCTTTCTCCCCAGGAGAAAGAACATTTATCCTTTACTGCAGAATTGGCCAAGGATTACTTTTAATACTTTGGGGCAGACAAAGGACTGCCATGTGATTGAGATTGCTCCTGGGGAGACAGATTTTGGTAGTTTTCTTTGTTTTAGTACAGTGATGTGTCTATTTTGGGGTACATCTCAGTTTTTATCTGTTTTCTAGTCCCAAATGGCATGGAGTTATATCACCAGATTCAGCAGTTAAGGGTCAGAAGGGGCCTGTAAGAGCCATAAAATAGGATCTGAAGACTATAATTTGTCCACTCCTGACATACCACTACCACCAATTTCCTTTGAATTTCATTTTAAATATCTGAAAATTGATTGCGTACCTGCTTCTTTCATTTTGGTTATTAAGCCAGCAATTTCTAAATAGTTGTACCCAGACCACATTCTCTCACGTTACAGCCTCTGTACAGTAGTTTTTGCTAACTTTTATTCTATCCTGATGTAGTAGCCTCTGGTGAACATGCAGGTGAAAGGCAGCCAGCACATATATCACCTAATTTGGTCTTCCCCAACTTGACTGCATTTCTGCTGATGATGGAAGTTGTCCTGTATCATCTCTAGAAGGCATCAGCTTGAGAAGGGTAAACTAAACATATATATGGTTAGAATTCCTGGACAATTTATTTGTTGTCTAACAAAACTTCACCTTTATCTTCAGCATGAAAGTTCAAAGCAATTAAAGTGCTTTAAAAAGCACCATATTCTAATTAAAGCTTCATGCCAGCCCTGAGCACATATACTTGGAACTAAAAAGGTGCAAGTGGATGAAGTTGCAATGGTCACAAATTCTAGTGTGCAGTTCCAATAGTAGCCACTTCAGTATTGCTATACCCAATGACAGCATATCATGAACCTAAAATCCTATTAACTCTGAAAACATTCACCCCCTCATGTTCCATTATATCAATAATTTGCTGCACAATATGGATCCTGAAATGCCTGGCAGACAATGCCACCTTCCTTTCAGAGCTACAGCCCCTTCCAAGCTATGTTTCATTTCACGCAAAAAGTTCAAGAAACATCCTTTTCAACACAACAGAGATGTAAATCTCCCTCCACAAATACTTGTAAAATACTAACACTGGAGGTATGCTCTTTGTAGGCAGCTCTCTCTTGCGGTGATAAGGTCTGTAAAAAAAAAAAAAAGATGAGAATAGGAAACCAAGATTAAAAGATAATTGCTGAAGCAGGACAGTTGAGAATAAAGGTGACTTGAAAAATCTAATTAAAGGTCACAAAGGACACATAACTTTGTGTCACTGATAATGGAGAGCAGTACAGTGTGTGTGTGGAGGGGAGTATTTGATCCCCTGCTGATTTTGTACATTTGCCCACTGACAAAGAAATGATTAGTCTATAATTTTAGATAGGTTTATTTTAACAGTGAGAAACAGAATAACAACAAAAAATCCAGAAAAACGGATTTCAAAAAAGTTATAAATTGATTTGAATTTTAATGAGTGAAATAAGTATTTGATCCTCTATCAATCAGCAAGATTTCTGGCTCCCAGATGTCTTTTATACAGGTAATGAGCTGAGATTAGAAGCACTCTCTTAGAGGAAGTGCTCCTAATCTAAACTTGTTCACCTGTATAAAAGACACCTGCCCACAGAATCAATCAATCAAATTCCAAACTCTCCACCATGGCCAAGACAAAAGAGCTGTCCAAGGATGTCAGGGACCAGATTGTAGACCTACACAAGGCGGGAATGGGCTACAAGACTATCGCCAAGCAGCTTGGTAAGAAGATGACAACAGTTGGTGCGATTATTCGCAAATGGAAGAAACACAAAATAACTGTCAATCTCCCTCGGTCTGGGGTTCCATGCAAGATCTCACCCCATGGATTTTCAATGATCATAAGAACAGTGAGGAATCAGGCCAGCACTACATGGGATGATCTTGTCAATGATCTCAAGGCAGCTGGGACCATAGTCATTAAGAAAACAATTTGTAACACACTACACCACAAAGGACTGCAAGGTCCCCTTGCTCAAGAAAGCACAGGCCCGTCTGAAGTTTGCCAATGGGCATCTGAATGATTCAGAGGAGAACTGGATGAAAGTGTTGTGGTCAAATGAGATCAAAATTGAGCTCTTTGGCATCAGTTCAACTCGCCGCATTAGGAGGAGGAAGAATGCTGCCTATGACCCCAAGAACATCATCCCCACCATCAAACATGGAGATGGAAACATTATGCTTTGGGGGTGTTTTTCTGCTAAGGGGACAGGACAAATCTTACTGTCAAATCTCGGGCGAGAACCTCCTTCCTTCAACCAGGGTATTGAAAATGGGTCATGGATGGGTATTCCAGCATGGCAATGACCCAAAACACATGGCCAAGGCAACAAAGGAATGGCTCAAGAAGAAGCACATTAAGGTCCTGGAGTGGCCTAGCCAGTCTCCAGACCTTATTTCCACAGAAAATCTGTGGAGGGAGCTGAAGGTTCGAACTGCCAAACATCTACCTTGAAACCTTAATAACTTGGAGAGGATCTGCAAAGAGGAGTGGGACAAAATCCCTCCTGAGATGTGTGCAAACCTGGTGGCCAACTGCAAGAAACATCTGACCTCTGTGATTGCCAACAAAGATTTTGCCAGTAAGTACTCGTCATGTTTTGCGAAGGGGTCAAATACTTATTTCACTTATTAAAATGCAAATCAATTTATAACTTTTTTGAAATGCATTTTTCTGGATTTTTTGTTATTATTCTATCTCTCACTGTTAAAATAAACCTACCATTAAAATTATAGACTGATCAGTTCTCTGTCAGTGGGCAAACGTACAAAATCAGCAAGGGATCAAATACTCCCCCCCCCACTGTATTTCATAGATAGAAAGGACAACTTCATTTAAATTCGCAGAGGACTTTTTTATTGTGTCTGTATTTTATTGTAATTTATCAGTGATACGTTACCTACACTCTTCCTTTTCCCACTTCAGAACTCACCTTTAGCCACATGTCCAGGTGCACTTTGTACTGTTTCTGCTGTTCTTCAGCCAACTTTTTATACTGATCCTTTTGGCTCTGAGAGATCCGTTGCCAGCGGCTCCCAATCTCTACCATCCGCTCCTTCAGAGGAAGGTGGTTGAGTTCACCGTTTGAAAGCAACTCCTGAGAAAATTTCTGATATCCATTCCTGGTGTACAGAAGTTATGGAAACTGTCTATTACTCTAACTTATTTTTCAATTCAGTGGAACAATACTATTTAGAACAGGTAATTCATTTTTAACAATTTCATAAATCATTGGGAATTAATACTGGGAGATATTCTTGGCTATCACACTCTAGACCCATTAGCAATGTTAGCAAAGGTAGGGCTTTGTAGATAGAAAAATGAAGCCATATAAGTAATTAGTGGCTGGGATCATTGTTACAATAATGGCAAACTTAGTTCCAATTAAGCAACATCTGTTTCATCTGTTCAATTTCCTGACACATAAAAGAGTTAACTTTCAGAGGTATGATTCCCACAAAGTGTGCAAAACATCTATTTGCCCACCTCCCAAAGTCCTTACAATGATCTTACAAACTCAAAACAGGAGCAGGAAAAAAAATAAAATAAAGTGAGATGCAACAATACTTTGACACAATTTCCAGATTCTTGTTTAAACATGTTTTTCCTTCCTTTCATGAAAGACATTAAGAGGTTTCACGAGATTATAATTCTTATTTTGCTTTACTACATGTTTGTAAATTAGGCCCTTTTATTCTGTTGTTTGGCTAGATTGAATGAGATTGTGCAGGATAGAGTAGCGCATATGCATACAATATACTTGAACTTCAATACAATTTTAGTCTTAAGTTTCTTTTAAAGTTTTGAGAAGTTTATTGAATAGTAAACTTGTATCTTATAAATAAAACAAAGCAATAAGAAAAAGCGTATTCCACCCCCAAAGAGTGGATTAATACTCTAAAAGTACTGATCAGCCAAGCTATAAAGGTTCTTCTGAATTCAGACAACCTCACATTTATGTATCGTATTAAGCCAACACTTACATGGGGGGTTTCTTTGGCTCTCCCTGGAATTTCATCTTCTTGGAGGCATTTGTTGAACATGGTGGTGCCCTCATCTCACTCAGTTCTCGCTACAAAAAGGAAAAAGAGAACAGATAGCTGTCCTTTCCTTTTCCTTGAGGTTTTAATAAAATATTTGAGTTTTCAACGAGGAAGGAATAGTTAGCTCTGCTTATCCTTTAAACCATAACTTTTAATACACAATACTAAAAATTAAAATTTTGGGTCAAATACACAATTTGACACTTTGGGTAGGTAATGCTTAATATTATTCAGCTATTTAACAACCTGTTTAATAGAACAGGAATATTTCCAACATATTTTCAAATATATTTGCCTGCAGCTAGAAATCTGATTGATGGGGTTTTTTAAAATGAAGACAAAGAACTTTGTTCAATGCCAGATTTATTTATAAGGTTGCTCAACTCCATACTAATGGTTGCCTAAATTCCAAACTAAAAATGATACAAGTAAAAAAAAAATTACAAGGGTCTAGAACAAAAAACAATCCATTCTGAAAACTATACACATATGTGACCTGATGTGCAATCTAATCTGAGATCTGGGGGAAGACCCTGATTTTAAGGGCTGCTTTAAACAAGATTGGGGGGCGGGGGGGGGGGCGGGGTAGACAGACCACAGAAAAAATGTTGTTCCAGAGAGTATGTTTCCTAAGTCCTCTCAGATATCACTCCTTAACAAATGGAATAATGAACATCTCAACTTTGTCAGTTTCCTACATTCCTAAAGAAAGGACAGATACATGCATGCTTGCTCTAATATAGTATAATTAGTGCCTCATACTTCATATCGTTTTTGATCTTCCGCTGCTTTCTTAATCCACATAAGTTTTTCTTTTTTCTCCATATTATTCCAGGTAGTTTCCATGGCCTTTAGTGCTTTCCCCCTGTCATTCTGAGTTAAAAGAAGGAGTATTATAAAACTATATGGACTCAATAAACTGCAGAATAATTCCAAAGGTGTGGTTCCAACCATTTCAAAACAAAAATAGAACATGTGTCTTTCTGTTCATGGAACCCAATCACTTAGCACATTCACTTTTTCTTCCTCACGTATTTCCTGGCTTAACCTCTGTCTTCTCCTCTGCTGTGCTTCCTCTCCATCTTCATTTTAAGTCCCCACTCCAGCATCCTTTCCTCCCACAAGTTCTTTCCACTATTTATAAGGCACCTGGCAATAATTATCCACCTTGAAGGAGTTGTTAGGAGGAGGAAAAGGTGTATTTGTGTACGCATGTGTGAAGCTAGAATTGGAAACTGGGAAAATTAATAATGGAAGGCATACATGTTTTGTAGTTTTGCCCTAGAGTGTGCAATATGGGCAGGAAAGGGGATTCAGACTGTTTCTTTTGATCTAGACAGATGTCCCCCTCCCCTCCAAAATCAAACTGAACAGAACCAGACTTGATAAAATCTTAGAGAAGAATTGTGGAGGAAATCTCAAGGCTATGAAGATGTTTCCTATTAGGACCATGCCTGTCTTTTTTCTCACTTTACCTTAAAGCGGGCAAGATAATCTCCTATAACACTTTGCTGCCAGATCTCCTCAGCAGTCTTGGGTGACTCAGGAAGTTTGCCACGATCTTCCTTGTCAGAACCATGCTTTTTCTCTGTCTGAGATTTTAGGGCAGCCTCCCGAGCTTTATATTTGGCCTAGATAAGGAAAGAGCAAGAAAAGGCAAAATCTGTGAGTTAACTAAGATTCACTGGCTAGTCAAACATAAAAAAAAGTTGTCTGACTAAACCCCAATGTAATTAAGCTCTGAAAAAGAAAGTGTTTTACAGAAACTTGGCTTAAAGTATCTTAAACTAGTTCCAAAAAAAGAAAACGAGAGCACTTGATTTGGTTTATTCACCATGGCTAACTATCCAGGAAGGATACTGCTGTATTAGGAACGTTCCACATTAGAGTTGATTTGACCCAGCAGCACTGGGGCCTAGAAACCAAACCCAATTTCTCCATGTAAGCTTGCATTAATCCAATAATATACCTAAAGATAATCTGAAACAAATGAGACTATGAAAAACAATATAATGCAGGTACAATTCCACACAGTTAGATAAATACTACTGTTGTAGTCAAATTGAGAATATTGTGTTTGCCAATAACACTAACAAAAATACATTCTACCCAGGACATCAACAACTCCGCTTCTAGATAGATAGTTAGTTGACAAAAAAGAATAATGAATTTATTTTTTATGATCCAGCACTTTTTATGATTCTAAGTCTAAACCCTACTGCAGTGAATTTGTGAAGGTGCTTCAAAATTAAAAACATAGCATGTGCTTTAAAAAAAGACAGATGGATGGAGACTTGAATTATACAAACCATGCATTAAAAACACACATGGAAATTAGATATCTACATAGATTTCTACAGAATTAAAATTCTGCAAGGAAAAAACATAGCCCCTTTCAGGATTTTTTTTTTTTTTACTTAAATAACTTATTATAAATAATTGGTGAGGCCTCACTTAAAATCCTCTATGGGAAAAGAGATTATCTACAGGACAACAATAACTTTTATGTATGTAGTCTTTGTCATCCCCCCCCCCAAATCTTCATGAATATTTCCAAGAATAATTTACTAGAATATAAAGATGCTTTTATATAAATACTTAAAGGAACAAGTATACATGTATATTAATAGCGTTATGACAGTATTTCATGTTTTGACTTTTTTTCCAACAAAACAATAGAGCATAGATTTCAAAGTAATTAGAGTATGTGTGTGAACCCTGCTACTTTTCTTCATTTGCTGAAAAGGTTTAGCCAAATCTAAGTTTCAGTGAAAGAGGAATTTAGATTTATTATTGTATTATTTATAAGATAGACATTCTAATTTGTTTTACAACATATTTTATTTTTTCTTTGTTAAGAGGTAAAAGTTGAATTTCAAAAAAACACTTCTAACTGCTATCTTTCAAAGACTTTCTGCTTTTAAATTATTTGTTTCAAACCTGAAAATATGCTAATGACAGACCAGGAACTGATAAGTTTTTATTTAAAATACTGCTACCTGGAAAGGCAACACTAATTTAAATGGACACATGCTTTTATTCTCCTTATAGAAGAACTGGGTGCTTAGGTGCTTGGTAACGACACGTATTTATGATGGTTGCAGTATCTCAGATTCATATATGATCACTATTTGAAATCTTCTAAGCTTGTTTCCAATGAGCAAGGTCAATAGGGGTCTGCTTAACAACTGTGACCCCCACAAAAAAGTTGTAGAATCAGGTGTGATTCATTTAACTACCAGCCTGCTTAGCAGTAGAAATTCTGATCCTGTGGTTTAAATTGAACCTGTATCGCTTTTAGTTGTTCTGGTTTTATGCACTTTATGCTTTATATTGGTGTGCTTCTATAAAGCAAAACAGTGAGATATAATGAAATAATTAAAAAACCCAGATTATATGCATATTGGAGATGTGGGCTAGGCCAATCAGGATCCAGCTTCCTAGAAATTTCCAAAACTTCACTTTTTCCCCCTTCCCTCACCCCCACCCCCAATATGCTTCCAGGGTACAAAGCTAATTTTAATGGTCTACAAGCGATGCTTATTCCCACCAAAATCCTCCCCCTAAAATGACATGGATTTTGAAATAAGAAGAAAAAAAAAAAGGATGAATATCCCAGCTCTAGGAAGGAGGCAGTGGCAAACCATTTCCAAAACAAATACTAAAGGGATTCATCCAGGCAGTTGCCAGGAGTTAACACTGACTCAAAGGCTTGAGTCAATAAGCTTAAATAAAGCAATTTTTTAAAAAAATCATCCCACTTTTCATTTGGGACTTTCTTGCGTAAAAATGCTTTTCAGCTTAGGGATGAGTGTACAGACCAAGTAGTTTGATAAATAGCCCTGTCTTTACCCCAATCCAGTCTCTGATGCACATGCTGTACCTAAACGATATCAACTCTATCTCATCCCTCTCAAATTCAACTTTCTAAGTGGCAATCAAGGTGCATGTACAATTTCTCCACAGTCCCAGACACACCCCTTCTCAGGCTTCTAAACCAAGCCTCAAGACTTCTCTATTTAATAATCACAGATCTCCTGGGAAATGGCGATTACTGAATACCTAATAGGCTCTGACTGGCCTCATTTTTTCAACATGAAGGTAATGTCAAGGTCTGATTCCATATACAACACCCAGCTAGGGATGGATGGATAATAAGAGAGGTAACACAAGATGGAATGGTAGGAGTGTCCAGACTGTGACGGAGCTTGGTGTTCATCACGGTTCTGGAAAATCCCAGAACCTACTGCAGGTTTCTAGCAGGTTTTTCCTTTCCTATTTTTTTTTTTAAGGGTGAGGATGAGGGTCAGTTTTCAACAGAAAAAAAATCCACGTGACTAAGATATCCAAGAACGCATGTTTCCCACACCTCCACCCCAAAAGATAATTAGGATAATGTGCATCATTGATTAAACAACCTTTTTTTTCTCTGAAAGATCATTCCACATCCGTGCCAGCAACCGTGCCAGTTCACTCTCTGATAGTTCGGGTCGCTCTTCCTGCAGCTGCTTGCGTTTCTCCTCCGAGAAGATAAACATAGCAGAAACGGGTCGTTTGGGTTTTTCAGAACCTCCCTGTTAAAGAGCACAAAGGAACTTGTGGTTGTGGAATTTTGCATTTATCTTTTTTGTTTGTTTGAATTATGGAAAGACCAAATAAAAAATAGTAAAAGGAGAAATTTAATTTTAGATCTGCAAACTTCATTTACTAGATTAATCGATTAGCATCTTACTTCATTATTCAATAGAGGAAGACATTTATACCAGTGAGATCAAATTTTATTTGGTGAGCTGTAAGTTAAAACAATTTTTGTTTAGTTGCCTTAATGCAATGAAAAATGAAAGAAAAAGAAAAAAAGCGTTTTAAAGATGAGTATTTGAATATAACAGTGATACTGATAATTAAAAATAAATCAATAATTGCATACATCCAATATCTCAAAAAGTTCCTCTGTTTTTAAGCACATATTTAATTTAACTGATTAACAATTACTAGATTAAAATGGACATGATATATTAAATAAGCTTTTTCCAGGTTTGCCAAACTGGAGAATGGTGGCATCACATTTAGTAATAAAATTTTTAAAACAAGTCCAGCAGCCATTTAAATGAAGTCTTGAGGCTGGTTTAAATATCAAATTAATTTCGCTGTTTCTACGTAAAGGTACATTCATATCCACAATATATGGGTAGGTCACCCACCTTGCTGGCATCTGGTGATGACTTCTTAGAGGCAGGGCTGGTGGCACCTTTCTTATTTATTCCCAGCATTTTTTCCTCTCCCAAAACTCTCTGTTGTTCTTCTTCAGGCAGGCTCTAAAAGATAATGGTATTATTTTTTTAAAGGGTTTTAGAGGTATTTGTCATTTTTTCTGCCTAGCAAATATGACAACCATTTCAGTATCAACAGAAATCTCTACATCTGCCTATTCATTTTCTTCTGAAAAGAATAGCTTCCCAAGAAGATACTACCCTAGTAATACAGGTAGTCCTTGTTTAGTGACTGCCTCAGTCAACAACCATTCAGTTAGGGCAATGATAAAAAAATATCTTTGTGACCAATGTCTGCATTTGCAGGTCTATAAAGCAAAGGAAAGCTGAAATAAGATTGTAAGTCCAGCTCCAATTTTACTTAGCAACCACTTTGCTTAATGAGTGAATTGGTCATTAAACAAGAACTACTTGTACAACATCTACATTGTCATAATCTTTTACCTGTTTTCCCCTGCCTTGGAATTAGAATGCTTCTCTGAAAATCACTGAAAAACTTATAAAATATGCTGAAGGGACAGAAAGCATGAATGCAATCTTGTGTATACTACTCACAATCTTTTTCAGGATGTTTTATATGACGGAGGTCCAACATATAGAAATTTGTCCAACATTTCTTTTCAAGAAATCTAGTGTGATCCACCCAAATCATACAGATTGGCATGTAACATAGGGAGACTGCTAGACTGCATTTTGAAATACAAGCTCAAATAGAAGAAATAAGAGTGGCATAAACACAACTGCAAATTAACAACTCATTTCTCCTTGCTAAAGAAGGAAAATTCTGTTTTGGCCAGAGATTTGAGCTCTTTCACTATGGTCCCTGTCAAGGATTTTTTTTTTAACTGTCCAATTTAGTGGGCTCCAAACATTGAAGAAACAATAGGTCAGTGGTTCTCAACCTTTTTAATGCCACGACGCCCAACTGGTCGTAAGTCGAGGACTATCCAACCAGTCATAAGTCGAGGACTTTCCCTGCCCGGGAGTGCCACGCATGCGTGGTGCCACCCCCTGCGCCGGCTGAGGCGTAGCTGGCAAGCAGCAGAGACGAAGCAGGCCGGCCACCGGCTGGCCCAACCCAAGGGAGGTAAGGCACCCGCCGGACCCCACACGCGCCAGCAACCCTCCCTGCGCCCACCGGCCTCCCACCTCCCACCCCTGGCCCTCTTTTAATTACATTTTTAGTAGTTGCTCAACAGGGAAGGGTGGAAACTTCCAGACAGCTCGCCTTCGCTGCAGACAACTTGCGGCACCGTTTGCAGAATGGAACTTTTGGCGGGCTCAACAGGGCAGAGATAGCCTGGACAATTCCTATTGGCTTTTGAAAGCCAATAGAATTAGACTCTATTCAAGAGAGTCTATTTTATTGGCTTTCAAAAGCCAATAGAATAAAAGGGAGTAGCACAGCTAAGGAAAAAGGGGAAAAAATGGCGGACTGCGTTATTTGGCGACCCCTGTGAAATGGTCGTTTGACCCCAAATGGGGTCCCGACCCACAGGTTGAAAACCACTGCAATAGGTTCTAGACCAGCAGTTCTCAACCTGTGGGTCGCAACCCTTTTGGGGGTCGAATGATGCTTTCACAGGGGTCGCCTAAGACCATCGGAAAACACATATTTCCGATGGTCTTAGGAACCGAGACACTAGTGAGAATTTCTGCTCAAGGCTAGCTCCACCAGCCAGCTCGGGCAGACAGGAAAGCAGCCACCTCAGCAGCATGGCAGGGCTGTGCTACCCATTGCAGAGCAGCTACTGCCGCGTCGCCACGGCTATGAACCTCCTGCTTGGCGTCTTTCAGGTCCTCTTGCCTGGCTTCCGTCTGGGAGAAGCGCAGGGCCAAGGTAAAAAAAAAAGCCTGGCGAAATACTCCCGAGGGGTAGCGTCGATCTGTAGTGGGAGGTGAAGGGGGCGGGTGGTCGACCAGAAGGGAATCGGGTCTGATAAGGGCGAAAGTTGAGTGAGGTTTTCCCCCTTGCCCCTCTCTCCGCCTCCCTTTGTGCAGCGGCGTCTCTGGCTGCTGCCTTCCCAGTCGCCGAGAAAGGGAAAAAAAAGAGCCATGAGCGAGTTCCCCTTTCTGCCTCATTGCTTAAAGCTTTTTTTTTTTTTAAAAAAACGACCACTTGTTTATAACTCCTCAGGGCTTGTTTGCATGAGCTTGTGGCAGATCAGTAAATAAAGGGGTGGAGGAGCCAAACCGTCCAAGGCGTTTGCACCCTGAATGTGTGGATGCTGCTTTCATGACTTGCCACTACCGCCCCCTCTCTTCCCGCCCTGCTCTAGCAACACGCTGTTGCTGCTGCTGCTGGCTGAGGCGCCGAGCCGGTCCCCACGCCTCCTGGTTGCCTGGCCGCACCGGAGTCTCCCCCACACCACCTGGCCCGCCTCCCTCGCCATCGGAGGGCATCTGTGTGTGTTTCCAGACCTTACTGGACTATCATCCCCAGCAGCCCTAAAAAGTACTGTGGAAGAGTGGGGAATGCTGGGAGTTGCAGTTCATCACCATCTGGAAAAACATCTCTCCAAAGATGGATCAATCCTTCCTTCCTTCCATCTCCTTCCCTTCCCCTTCAATCTCTCCTTCCTTCCCCCTTCAATTTCCTTCCTTCTCCATCTCCTTCCTCTCCCCTTCAATCTTCCTTCCTTCCATCTCCATCCCTTTCCCTTCAATCTCTCTCCTTCCTTCCTTCCCTCTTCAATCTTCCTTCCTTCTCCATCTCCTTCCTTTCCCCTTCAATTTTCCTTCCTTCCTTCCATCTCCATCCCTTCCCCTTCAATCTCTCCTTCCTTTCCCTTCAATCTCCTTCCTTCTCCATCTCCTTCCTTTCCCCTTCAATCTCTCTCCTTCCTTCCTTTCCCCTTCAATCTCCTTCCTTTCCCCTTCAATCTTCCTTCCTTCCTTCCATCTCCATCTCTTCAATCTTTCCCCTTCAATCTCCTTCCTTCTCCATCTCCTTCCTTTCCCCTTCAATCTTCCTTCCTTCCCCTTCCCTCCCTCCCAACATTTTTGAGCAAGGAAGAGAAAGCTTCTCCAGCGAGCATTGCTATATTGTTTTTGTGATTAATCACTATGCTTCAATTATGTTCAATTCATAACAATGAAAATACACCCTGCATATCAGATATTTACATTACTATTCATAACAGTAGCAAAATTACAGTTATGAAGTAGCAACAAAAGTAATTTTATGGTTGGGGGTCACAACATGAGGAACTGTATTAAAGGGTTGCGGCATTAGGAAGGTTGAGAACCACTGTTCTAGACCAGTGGTTCTCAACCTGTGGGTCGGGACCCCATTTGGGGTCGAATGACCATTTCACGGAGGTCGCCAAACAATGCAGTCCGCCATTTTTTCCCCCTTTTCCTTAGCTGTGCTACTCCCTTTTATTCTATTGGCTTTTGAAAGCCAATAGAATAGACTCTCTTTAATAGAGTCTAATTCTATTGGCTTTCAAAAGCCAATAGGAATTGTCCAGGCTGTCTCTGCCCTGCTGAGCCCACCAAAAGTTCCATTCTGCAAACGGTGCTGCACCAGTTGAGTAGTCCTCAACTTACAACCGGTTGAGTAGTCCTCGACCTACGACCGGTTGGGGGGTCGCGGCATTAAAAAGGTTGAGAACCACTGTTCTAGACAATAAAGAAGTGTTCATAGCTATTACCTACTCACTACTACCCCATCCTTCCACACTTCTATTACTTCTGCTGCCACTTCAACCACTACCCCTTATGAATTCTCCTACTCCAGGTGAATACTGCTACTAAACAATTATCTGCTTCAGACTGCTTCACTTCCAGCCATAAACACTTCTCTCCCATACCCAGCTGTCTCTCAGAACAACTTTTATAGCCAATGATGGGGATGATGGGGAGAGGACATAAAGAAACAGGATGACAGCAACATAGGTGCTGATCATTTTCTGGGCAGCCTGCTGCCTCAAAGTCCCATAACAATTAAAAACAACTTAACTCTGAAGAGTTCAAGAACACAGTGGATTATTCTCCCATCCTATGCCAAATTGAGATCAGTGAATAGTTGTAGTGATTATGATTTAACCAATGTCAAGCTTTTTCTAAGTTTAATTCATTTAATTGGAGATAGTTGAACATGTGTATTGGTATGCTGTGGGTCATACTCACCTCCAGGAAACGCAAAAGCTCAATTTCATAATCTTTCTTTTTCTACAAAGGAAAATATCAAGAAGATAAAATTAGTTTTTTGAATATGCCATATGGTCCCCATCTCCTTTTCCTATCTCCATCCCTGTGTTGTCTTTCTAAACAAATTGATTCTCTTGATTCTTACAATTTTGTAAGATATTTGTTTCTAGAAATTTTAATGAATTACTGGATTTGGGACCAAATATTTAACTGACACTTGAATGATGTCCTCCAGGTATTCTGGATATGTATTTCCATTTACTGATCTAGCATAGCTAATTACAAAGTATTCTGAGAATTGTAGTGCTAAGCATTTTTTGGACACCATGTCACCGTCCTATTTTAACATGTATATGATGGTAAGTGTACATGGGGTGGCAACTATTGCCAAATGACATTTTAAATTATAAAGTTGGACCTTTTAAAATAAAGAGCTTGGTCTTTACTCTAACCCTCAATTATTTCATTGATGCTTTATTTGTATCAAGTATGTATGGATGAGCTTTAAACATAAGATTGTAAGAATCAAAGAGAGTCTGGGAAAGCAACTAAGAAACAGGAACATTAGAAAGGTAGGGGCTATTATACCTACTAGTCTTTCTTAATTGAATTAAATCTTGTAGCAAAAGAGCAACACTCCTTCTCAAGAGCGCTACTGTTATATGCCTGGTTGGTTAATGGAAGTCGACCATCACTCCAAATGCGATCCTGGAAGGGTGCAATGGATCTGACTGATATCCACCAGATTTCAACTTTCTTCTCAGCTATTCCATCCCCAAATCAGCCAATTATGAATGTTTATGTTTAGTATTGAGCACTTGAAATAGGGTTAAGATTCTATTAGCACACCAGCAACAATATTTACCCATCAGCCTTCATACTCCATAAATTAATTGAGAAGTAGCTTCGGTGATTTCCACAGCTTGCAAACATGAGTACCTTGAAATCCATATGGAGACTGCCTTGTCTAATATGCTTTGTAATTTTCAAATCCTCCATGACAAGTAATGGGTCTTGTCCAGCCAGAAATATTTGGTAGAATTAAGACAGAAGATTGCCCCAAGACCACATAATGGCACACCTACCAGCTTTCACTTCCCTGTCATTATCAGACTACCAATTGTTCTTTCATTTGTAAATTACTAATCGTTTCTGCAGGTCTGCCTTGGGAAGCAAAAATATTGTGATAATTTTCTGGTGTCTTTGGGATATTTCTTTATTGGAAAGGTACAAAGTGTGATGATTATATAGCCAAGTTTTCAATCCTGTTGCTCTCACTCACACACAGTCTTATATGTATATGCTTTCTTATTTTTTGAAGAAAATGTGTGCATCATAGGTGTGTGTATATATGTATCAGAGGTAATGCTCCTGCTTTTTTATTTATTTCTGAAAAAGGTAGGGTTCATTTATACTTAAGGAATGAAACTAAATGAAATTACTGAACTAAAAGAGCAAAGAGCAAAGAGAGGGATGCCTGATGACAATTAAAAAGTAATACTATTGTCAACTCTACAATGAACCTGGCTGCAGGTATCTTGCTCGTTCTAGGTTGCCACAAAGATGGGAGGGGGTGCAGAGGAATTTTGCTAGTCTAAACAATTTAATGTCCCATGGGAGCCAAGGTTATTTTTGTCAGATGGATTGGGAGGGGGAGCTTGCATTACTGTTATAACAACTAGGTAATAATGATGAAAAAAGTGAGGTTTTGAACACTGCATCTACACACCCTTTGGCTAATCCAGCCCAGAAAGAGAGAGACAAAGACAAGGACAGAGAGATAGAGCCTTGGCTATAATACATTCAACATATTGTTCCAATTTAAATTTTACAAGTATGGCAGAGATAGAAAAGTTCATAGGTATAGAGTCAATCGACTAGTGCAGAGATGTGTTTCAGCTTATATCAAATGAAGTTATGAACAGCCTGCTTGGATGATCCAGTCATCCTTTGTGACTTTTGCCCTTCCTGGGAATTTAAAATGGGCTAGAAAGAGCTATACTATCATCACTGCTATTATTAATATCAAATTCATAGAGGATGCTATGGGTCTAATGCAGGGGTGTCAAACTGCTGGCCTGCGGGCCGGATACATCATGCCTAAACCACGCCCACCCCATTGCTGGCAATGGAAAAAAAGTAGCAACATGTCACGTGACGTTGCGAGTTTGACACCCTTGGTCTAATGGATGGAGGAGATTCTGAAGGCACAGGAAAGGATCTGTTGCATTTTTGTTAAACAATTCCTTGCTTCAGCTGTTCTACATCAGTCCTTTTCTTTTATCATAAATTGACTACTATTTGAGGTTTCAGTGTGCTCAGGTTTAAACAAGGAACCACATTCAATTCTATGTCAATTAAAAAAGGCCGAAATGAAGTCTAAGAAAATCATAATTGATATCGGATGATTAAAGCCAAATAGGTATTAACTGAAATAAACACATTCTGATAAATATATAGTATATTAAAATGGCCAAATTAAGCAACTGACTTCTGTTTGCACTCGTTATTTAATTCAATGGTGAATAAGGGTAGAGAAAGTACCCAGTTTTTATGAGGAACCAAAGGAGATGATTTTATTATGGAGAAAACTGGATTGCACTCTCATTCTATAGTAGAAGGCAGACTCAGAAAGCTAGCAGCATGTTTTGGTCCTCAGAATCTCTTATGTCTAGGTACAGGCAAAATTTCCAGTCTTTTTCTAGAAGAAAATTTTAGGAGAAAAAAAATCCTGCTCTGCCTGCTTTTGGGTGCAGTCCTCAACATGCAGCTGAAATAGCACATTCCTATATTACAGACAAGATGAAACTTGCAGTGACTAACATGACTTGTTCAGGCAGTGAGATGTATTTGAATTTTAATTTATTTCCTTTTGCTTTGAGAATTCATGCAAACTTAATTTTTCCATGTTAATGAGTTCATAATGGTCTCAGGTTTGAAATTTCTCTTATCTGGAATATTAAGAATTACATTCTGGGGCATCTCATAAAAATGGCTGTCCTTCCATAAAATGGCTGCCATGAGGGACAAAAGGGCACAAAAGAGCTAAACAAGTGGAATGGATTCACATAGATTTTTGGCATCACCAAGTGTTTCCTGCCACATATTGTTTACCTGATTTTTTTGTGGAGACTAGAGACCTTCTTTGAATTCAGGAAGAGGATGACATTGGGGCTGGCATGTTTTACAGCATGTTTTTCTCGCTTCTGCTATTTTTAATTAAAAGCAAATTAATCTAGTATGGCAGGGGAATGATAGGCACCTAAGGGCATGCCTGTTAACATCACATCAGCCAAGGAATTGGTGAGTCACTAGCGCAACTAACGGATGAGATTTTACACATCTTATTTATTCATACTGCATGTAGTAACATTCAGTTTATTTGCACCATAAATAATGGACTAGATTTCCAAAACAGTGAACATGACTATCATACTGCATTTCTGAATGTGGATAAATATAATTCTCTATCAATGATGGGATAGCCAGCTGACCCAGAAATCAGGGAGTAGATTTATTATTTTTTTCCAGAAAACATTTTTAATACTTGCTCCTCCAGCCCTGCTTACCTGATCACATTTTCTGTGGTAGGCATCCTTTTCCTTTTGGGAAAGAAGTTTCCACTGCTGACTGCAGAGCACCATCCGTTCTGTGCTTGGGACATCTTTCATGTTTGCCATCAGCTCAGCACAGTAAAGAGAATAACTATTTCTAAAATAATAAGTTTCTTTATGTAGTACTGTCCCATTGAATTAGTACATTCTATACCAACCAATAGCAATCAAATGCCTGTGATAATAATTCTGTGATAACTCTTGGAGATAAATTCCCATTCAGCTACAAATTTTCACTTTGGATGGGGATTCTCATCAATAATTTAAAATAGAGGCCCATAACTTTTGGGGCATTCAGACTCCCACAAAAGCCTTGAGTGCCCCACAAAAAGATATTAGCAAATTAATTAAACAAGAGAACTGTTAAAAATCCAAAGCACGCTGCATGTTTTTAAGTACATTACTTTTTTAATTCTATTTTTTTCTAATCCAACTTCTTAAGACTAGAGTTTCTAATAGGCCACCCATTTAACACATTTGTCCATTTAACACATGTGGTTTAGGAGACAACTTATGGTTCTTCAGCTGTTCTTCTCGGAACCTCTGACAATAAATGAAGAAAATGGGTAATGTAATTTTGAGGTAAAAAACATAAAAATTGTTAATATAAGCCTTAATATTGATACCTTCCAAAAAATCCATGTAAAGAGCTCAAAATCCCACAAACTCAAGAAAAGAAAACCCATCTCCACTTGCAACTTTAGTACAGCTATAGTAGTCTGTAGCCTCTTCCCAAACATTCAAGTGCACCCCTCCACTTCAAAATCATTTGCCACTTGCAACCTTGGAAACCAGCCACTTGTCAACTAGTGTCATCCAACCCCACAAGCATCAGACTAAGAAAGAGAGAGAGGGACAGAAAAAGTATCTGTTTAAAACAAGCTTCCTTGCTCGCATAAATGTCACAACTTTGGATGGTCTTACACCAATTCAAGGTTGCAGTGGGTTTTTTTGTTGTTGGGGTTTTTTTTTTTTTGAGGTGTATTGTTCTCTCTCAGATTTTTACTGGAGCACTGAATTGGATTTACCATTGAGAGGGAGATGAGAGCTAGATATCTGCAAATAAGAGCTGAGAAATAACCTGCAGAAACATAGCAGTAAAGTTTTACTTCAGCAACATATCCTTCCTACAAACTAGGACTGAATCCCCCCAAATAACCCACCTTCACAGCCAAACAGTTTGAAGATGGCAAATTTGTTCAAACAGAACCTCACCTCAGAATAAAAGCAATGGAGGGAGATGCTGGATGGCCTTAAGTAATCCTTCAGCTAGATCCGTGTTTTTCAACCTCAGTGAATTAGAGATGTATGGTGTTTCAACTCCTGGAATTCCCCAACCAGTGCCTCAATAGTTTGAGAGTAACAGCATCACCTGCTATGTATTCCCCATCCTACAACACTATACAACTGACAGTAAACTGTCTTCCTTTTAAATACTCAAGGGGCCATAGACGAAATCTCCATCGATTATGAGAAACAATGGGAAGGGGAACAATTTAGAGAAAATAAACATGGGCACAAATAAATTCCTGGAGCTTTTAGCCTTCTTCAAACTGCACTGTAGTGAGGATAAGTATTTTCTCCCCCTTAATGAAGGAAAGAAGTATCAGAGTGCCCGCAGGGTGCGTGCATGAAAAATTTGCAAAATGTTTGGCACAATGTTGTAATGCAAGCCTTGCCTCTTGTGTAAAAGGCAGGGTTTGAATCACAACACTGTAATTACCAATTCACACGTTTTGACTTCCTTGCAGATGCCAACAACCACAATATTAGACCTCTGTTGGCAACTGAGGAAACAATGAGGAGCCATGTTCTGTTCCCGAAGATAACTGACATCCAGACGCTATACCAGATCGTACCTGCAGAGGTCAGGCTTTGAAATGTTCTCTCACTGCACTCTTACCAGCTGAAATGGCCTTTTATCTTTTTACAAGCTTTTATCTTTACTGATTATGCCTTGTGCCCAATATTATCTTATTTTTTCAAAACTATGGTTTTGTGGTCAGGTTTTACACGTTCTCATTTGATTGTAAGCCACTTACTATTATTATTTAAACTAAAACAGTCAAAGTTCAACTCAAAGGAGTTCTAGGTTCACATCATTTAAACCTGTTCTAAATTATTGCTAGTCTTTCTTACTGATATTATTATTTTAACTGCTGTCGACTTCTGTATGCTATGAGATTTTTCTAGCTATGGCATACAATTACTACTACTTCTACACTGAATCATAACATAATTGGACAGGTACGATACATTGAATCACAAAAACCTAATCAGCATTGTCATTAAACTAAGACAGCAGTTAGCGTATTAAGTGACCTAGTTAAATGTGTTGAATGAACAGAGCTACTATGTGATATGCTGGGACAGGGTTCCTTTTGCCACATAATGGATGTAAAGAGGATCTCCATATTTCACCCGTTCTAGGAAATATATGCAAAAATACTGCAGAAAGGGAAAAAGCCTTTCCATTTATGACTATCCCAACTTACGGAGGGGGTTTGGTGGGTCGCCCATCAAACTTGTCCTTCAACTGCCTCTCTGCTTTTGTTAGGGTGGACCGTGGTGGTGCTCCCTCCTCAATGTTCATCTCTGGATGCTTCTGTATATAATCCCGCATCATTCCCTGGAAACAACAAACGCAGAGGATGGTTAATACAATATACAGCGACAAAGCTTTGGGGGTAAGCCCTTCCTAGGCTCTAGGGTGATGAGGTGGGCAGAAGAGGACCCACTACTTGGCCCTGACCAATTTCAACTCTGGATGGATGAAGCAGAGAGGGTGTTGCTTTGCAACTACCTTCCAGCTTAGTAAAAGGGAGTGGCACCCACAAATCGGCTCTCGGAGCGTGGCTGGGTTTGGGCAGCCGCGACAAGGCCGGGCTGAGCATAGGGGGGAGAAGATGGAGGGGAACGGTTGTGTGTTCCCTACCTCATACTCCTTCCGCTGCTCCAGAGCCTTATGAATCCATTTCAGCCTTTTTTTGTCCGAGAGCTGAGACCATTGCTTGCCCAACGCTTCCTTCACCTCCTTCGTGGTGGCCTGAAAAACCCAGGTGGGGAGGGGGAAATAAAAAAAAAGTAGGTACAAAGGGGAGGGAAACACTGCTCACCCTGGTGGTACAGCAGTGAATTACACTAAACTTTGGGAAAGATGAATTCTCATTGTGGTTTTTTGTTTTAAGTATCTTTTTCTTGATCCTGCAAGGAAGCAAAATGTAACTTGCTGCATATGCAGATAATCTATGAGAATTCTGAATAATTTTTCTTTTGGGGTTTAAATACATATAAAAAGGTTTCAGTCCCATGTAGGCCATTTGTAAGGGTCTCATGTCTTTGCTCTCTTTCTATCCTTCTCTTTCTCACCAATTAAATCTCTGGCCCCAGTGACTGACCCAGATTGGATCCTGCAACATTATCCTGGGACATGTGTATTTGCTTTCATTCATAAAAGAAACTGTCTGAATAATGGTAATTATGGAAACTAATGTAAACAGCAAACAAATATTACAAACAAACACTAGGAGCAGCATATCACACTCAATGTTTATTCTACACACTTCCAAGTGTTCCCTTCCACGCCTCCAACAAAAACAGGAATTAGTGACCCACAGGGTTTTTTGTAATGATCCTCTTTGGCTTCATTCTATTTACCATTCTAACAGAATAACTGGAAGGGACTTTGGAGGGTTGGACTAGAAAGTTTCAGAAAAGCAATTGACCAATCTCTTCTTAAAAACATCCATTGATGGAGACTCACAACTTCTGGAGGGAATCCTTCACAAATCTAACACTTTAGAAACCATTTGTACATGTGACTGTCATCTTCTTATGGCCATGAGTTCCATGAATTAACTATTCACTGCGTGAAAATGATTTATCTATCCTGTATATTTTGCTTATCATCTGTACTTATTGTTTCAGAAGAAAAAGTAAATCAAAAGCCAGCTATGCTCTAAAAGGGCACTTAGGGCTACTTGAATGAATAACAAAAAATTGCCCCCTGTACCGAGCTATTTGAGGAAGAAATATCTGAACATTCAATGCCAGTTAGAATTGAAAAAAACTGTCAATTCCTAGAGTAAACCATTTGTCTTCACTGCCCCAATTTTTGCTTTTATGATGTTGAAAGCCACTCAGAGTTGCCCGATAGTGAGATGGGCAGCATATAAATTTAATAGATAAACAAATATTTTTCAAGATTATATTTCCTCAATTTTTATTTAGCTTTCATAGCTGTTTCTTGATGCTTTGGCAGACCTCTCAGAATCAATTTTACATATTCAGCGGAATCAAAAGACAAAGCTTTTCCTGAGTGTAGTATCTCCAGATGTAGATGGGGGAACTGCTTTTATCTGAATGCTTCATTTATTTAAAAAAGTAGGAGCCCTCTATAAATAAAGAAAACAATATGAAGAAACATGAAGCTGAACACTTTCTTCTGACAGATTATGGGTCATATTGCAAAATGAGGTTTTCCGATAAGAAGAAAATGTTCATGTGTGTTATTAGAATCCCAAATATTATAACCCAGGAAGGCCTTTGCTTTCTGCTTGAATATAACCCATACCCCAGGGCCTCAGCTGATCAAAAATTAAAAGACTACAGCTTTATATTTAATTTTTCCTTGTTCTGCTTTCAAAAACAGCCTTCTGTCTCCCTCTGTTTCCACTGCTTTCCCTGTGCTGTCTTTCTTCATGCCTCCCATGCCACCTTCACCTCAAACTTATAAAGGGAGAGCTACTTACATCGGGTCGGACTTTCAGGTAGATCTTCTTCTCGTGAGTATACCAGAGCTGTTGGGGGGTCTTGGGTTTTTCTGGGATATCAGATTTCTTGGCATTCTGAATGAGGTCAGGATGGTCTTCCCTTCACAGAACAGGGATGGTAACAGGGGATGGAAAATGTAAGGCATCACCATACGGGAATTAACAAAACACACTTTCATATAAACCTCTCTAAGGCCCTACATACCAGTCCCCACTCTTGAATGCCAAGAAATCCCCAGAACTGCAGGATGAATCTGCCCGTAGAATTTTATTTTCTCTCCATAAAAAAAATATTCCCTCACAATCCTTCAAACATGGGCAAAGAGGGGTCTTCTGACATAACACCAACGTTTGTCCTCGGTGCAATTTCATGCTTCCACCCCTCTTGCTCTGAAACTTTCTAATACCTAAGAGCAAGACAGGGGACATGGCAAAAAAAAAAAAAAAAAAAGGTATGAGCGCAAAGACTCTACCCACTACCTACCCAGACATTTTTGGAGAATGAAGATACATGAGTTTCTGAGTTGAATAAAAACATTTCAAGCATACACACACACACACACACACACAAACAAATCTACTGGCTGGCAATGAATGCCAGCAATAAAGAGAGGAGGAAGATAAATAACTGGATAAACAAAATGACCAACAGCAATCAACCAAGCAGCTGTTATGCTAGATAATGGGACAAATTTTCTACACAATCCCTTATCAAGAAACATTCTGTAGATACAAATGCTCGGTACATCCATTGTTTTTGTTTGGTTCCCCCTCCCCAAACCAAAAGTTTAATTATGTGCTACATAGCAGGAAAGGCAGTTCTCTTCAAATTTGGGGAGGATGATGGTGATTGTGTACTGTAGAATATCTGGCTGGTCTACATTATCCTTTCTCAATTTTTTTCTCCTAAGATATTGTGGTCTACAACTTCTCTAAGTGCATATTGATCACTTACTTATGTGTCTGGAAATGAAGTTAATTATAGTATAACATCTTGGGATTCAACATATCTCAAGCTGGGAGCAGCTGCCTAGGTAGTAGATCTTTTGATTTAATTCAACATTTGCTTAGATGAGTGCTTGAAATGTTTACATAGAAAATTCTACCTGCCTAAAAATATATAGTTTTGCAGACTTTGTTATTCTATCAGTGGTTTAAAAAAGGAAAGTGTCACTATGCTATAGAACATATAGCTTTGAAGCCAAGGAACCTTCTAAGCACTACTTATTTTTTCTATTCTCTCCTTACCATCTTCTAATCAAAGCAGCTTTCATAGCAAAGTTGAGGAAAACGTCCGCTAAATGTGTGCAACTGAAATCTACAGCTGAAAAGCCTTAGAATGCTAATGGATACAAGCAAGACACTGTTGCTTAAGATCTCTTACCTAAATCTTGCCAGATTCCGCTCAAAATCTTGTTTCTCTCGTTGGAAATCCTGAATATACTTCATCTAAAAAACAGGGAGAAGAGGAAAAATACTCCACAGCTGCTATTTATATATGAGGTAGCTAATTGTCACACGCAAGCTCTCTCATTGGAGACAGAACTGTCTTGAGTCTTTAAGAGCTGTGGTGTGCAATGGTTATAATGCAGTATTGCAGGCTAATTCTGCCAACTGCCAGCAGTTCGATCCTGATTGGCTAAATATTGACTCAGCCTTCCGAAGTTGGTAAAATGAGAACCTAGATTGCTGGGGGGGGGGGCAATATGCTGACTCTGTAAACCACTTAGAGAAGGCTACAAAGCACTGTGAAGCAATATATAAGTCTAAGTTCTATTGCTATTATACTGAATATCTACTTCCTCTAATTCTATGTTCTGAAATTGCAGGTACGTGTATGTGTGTGTACGTGTGTGTGTGTATGTACACAAAATGCCCATCAAATCTTCCACAGGGCTGTTCTTTATCTCTGGAATGGCATGAGAAATTCAATTTCTTGGCATGCAAAACTAAACTGTTCCAAGTAAGTTCGTCATAAAAAAAGGCCAACTGGATAGAGAAATTGAGCAGAGTCTACCACAAACATCCTTACTGTCCTTTCTGAACTCCAGAAAGGACAAAGACCGTATGCTCTTCAATGCTTGAAAACTGATAAAAAACAATAGAGAAGCTGGCAAACCAGCCATTTGCGGATTCTATCTAGGCAGGTCACTCCAAAATGCTAAACAACTTTAGTGCTGTAGCATCTTGGATTCTTCTTAGCTCAGAGCTAAGAATTGTACAAATGTTAAATGCTCCTCTATTCAGGAATCTTTGCCTCCAGCCAGCAAGGCTCATAAAGGTTAGTTTGGGCACACTTGTATACACCAGAATGTCATCTTGCTTCCAGTTTAGTTATGCAGAGATTCAGATTAAGGAGGCTTACATTCACAAAGGTGAAGAGTTTACTGCTTCAGCACTAACACTGTGCTGACCCCACTTGTATCTTTTGTTGGTTTTTGAATTTCTTTTATGATCTAGAGAGCGCTCTGTGTTTTTACCATTTAAATAGTGGGATGCAGGAATTATAGGTCTGGAATTCCATGCACCCTATTTTTAGACATCTCCAGAGTAATAGGGCCAAAAATATACTTTGAATTTTTGTTCCTTAGAGCAGGGATCCCCAACCTCTGGGCAGTATCCTGGTACCAGGCCATGGCCTGTTGGAAACTGGGCTGCGCAAGCAGCAGGCGAGCGCGCAAGCCACTGCTGCATGGAACCATCTACTTTCCCCCCTGCCACCACCTGCAGAACTGGAAAGCTGGGGATTGCTGCTTTAGGGTTTCTTTTTTATACACAGGTAATTCTGTCTCAGCGGCTGCCCAAGTTATGACAGATCTGCAGAGTTCTGATGGCCACAGCCACCTATGTGGTTATGTGATTGCATTGTGGGCATTTGGCAACCAGCTGGCATTTACCACCCTTTGCAGTGTCCTGTGGACCCACGACCATAATTTTCAGCGGGTTTTGTCAGTTTCCACCTAAAAATGCCCATAGGATAATGGATTTGTTTAACAACTGCGGTATTCACTTAATGAGTGCTGTATTTGCTTAATGACCACTGCAAAAAAGGTCATAAAATTAGGTGGTCTTGTAGTGACCCGCTTAATGACTGCCACAACTTACGAACGTAATACTGGGCTCAATTAGAGTCTAACATAGGGACAACCTGTGTAGGGGGATATTAATAGACAAAAGAGGCACCTTGAAGATGCTTAGACAACTATTTCACACTTGAAACTGTCACCCAGAAAGAAATAAGCAGTATATCAGCTGATAGTTGAAATGCGGATCTCATGTTATATAAAGTTGAAGTTATTCACTAAATGTCAAGTGATGCCAATTCATCAGGCAAGTAGAATCAAGTTCCTTTAGTTATCCACTTTGACAGAAAGGCATATAAACATGCCCTTTGCAAGGGAAGCATGCAGTTTAAGCTCAAGATCCTAGCAATTGAGATTATTGCTAAATAACAGTCTAAATAACTGTTTTATAAAAATCATTTTGTGGTTCATTATCTGTTTTATAAAGGTAGCACATTCACAGAGCACTTGAGAAAGGGAATATTCTTTTTCGCAGAAGGTGCACAATACATCATTTGTAGGTACTAATTTCCCCAAGGAAAAAAAATGAGTTTTTTTTCTTTCTCTTTCTCTTCCTTGCATAGAGTTTTGCTAGAAAGACCAATAAAAAAGTGGCTTGCTGTCGGTAGGCAAAACTGCTTATGGAATTATGCCATTCCTGATACCCCTCATCACATTCTAAGTATGTACTGCTCACCTTTTTCTTTTCGGGGAGTTCCTTATATTTTTTTGAAAGAATCTTGGTTAAATCCAGGTTGCTCATCTCTGGATGTAGCTTAGCATATTTTGCTCGCTTTTCCATGAAGAAACGGAAATACGGAGTCAAAGGTTTTTTGGGGAAGTCAGGATGCTTCTGAATAGGGGCAGGAAGTAAGTAAAGAAAAAAATATTTTGAGATGGTCTCTTTCAAAAAAAAATGGAAAAATTAGAGTTTTACTTAATCCTCTAACTCTATTTTGTTTATAACATTTGTTTGCTGGAATAAGGTGGTAGCATATTTAAGTGTCACATGTAAATTAAATTCAACCATGAAACTCCAGTAATCTTACTAAAGCTTTATTTCAGCTTAGCATATCTGATGAGACATAAAAAGTATAGCTACGTCTCAAGAGACATCTAAAGAATTAAAATGAGTGTCTGTTTTGTCATTGTTTGTTACTGTTTTAAACTACTTGTTCCTCTGCTGAAACAGATTAAGTTTGTAAGGAAGGCCAGCATAGAAGCCTATCAGTCTTCCCAACCATGCATCTATAATCCCCAGAATTCCCAATCACTTTCCAACACATCTGGAAAAGCATCAGATGAGGAAAGCCCACTATGTTATCTGCCACAACTTGTACCTTACCTTCAATTCCTAATTATTATTGTGACATATTACTATTATTTATACTATACCCATGTTTTCTCTCCTTTCATTCAAGAATTCAGGTTGATATATAGTGTTCTATTTTCCCAGCACAAGAACCTAATGAGGTAACTTAGAAAGAGAGTGACTGGACCAAAATCTCCATGTAAAGCATGTGACATCTCCAATGTAGGAAGACCAATAAGTTAGCAATATTAGACTAAACGAACAAATCATAAAAAAGTTACTATATTCAAAATGCAGTACCATAAACTTAAAGGCATGACCAGAATCTTGAGTTTATCATTAGCAGCAGTGTAACAAACTGGAAAAGTGTTTTATTAAAGTGTTTTGCATTTTATTCACAAATCATACATATTGATAGAGGAATATTTATAGTTCAGGTTGAACTTGGTTCTCTGAGCTTGGTGGTTTTCTTGTAGACATTTCATTCACAAACTAGGTAACATCAGGAGTCTGACTGATGTTACCTAGTTTGGTAATGAAACATCTGCAAGAAAACCAAGTTCAAAGAGCATCAAGGATCCCACATACAAAATATTTCATTACTTAAGAGCACGGGTGTCAAACTCGATCACATCACATGACATATCATGACTTATTTTTTGCCTTTGCAGGAGTCGGGGTGAGCATGGCCTGCATGTGAGGAGGCATAGCCAGTTTGATACCCTGCTTTAGAGGCTTCAAGCTTCAGTGAACATTGTATCAATTAGGGGGCTATTAATTTTAATACCTTTTAATAACTATGCTACTAGTTAATCTTTCTTTTAAAAAATGGAATGGAGAACTAGTTTTCCATAAACCTTCCACAAAAATAAAGAAACCTGCAAGCCCTCCAGATGATACTGAAGTACAATCTTTTTATTCTTTACAGTTGAGGAAATCATCCTGGCTAGGACAGCTTGTGATTTCCAAGAGCTGCTGGTTCCTCACACTTGTGATAAACCTGACTTTATATTGCTACTTCAAAGATCATTGCAGTTTACAAGAAATTTAACTTAGCCTTTGTTCCAATTGTTCACATATATTTGCACATCAATACCTATTCAACATCTGATTGCATCTGTTGATAAGCTTTGTCTGTTAGGCCAAAGGAAGACACTCCTATTTTAGAAGGCTTTATTTCATACTCAACCAAAGGGGGGAAGGGATTAAGGCTAAGTTAAACTCTTTTTACTTTGCTTACTGCAGAATGTAGTACACCCTAATTTGTCTTATCTTTCCTGCCAGTGGGTTTTTTTTTAACTAAACATCACAAAACATTGTATCTCTACAAAGTATATTACATTTGTTTGGTATAATAATTGCTGCCACGGGGACCATTGATAGATTATAATTCTACACATGGACCCAAACTGCCTCCAAAGATTGGGTTTTAAAAGTCTACATCTGTTTTGTCATTAAGGAACAGGTCTTCCATATTTGACTGATATTTTTGTTTTTTCCAATTAAGGACTCTTGCTATTGGCTACTTTTGTTAATTATTGGTCACTAGTATAGTCGCTGTTAGATTATATGCATTAAAACTTTTTTTAAAAAAATAGCTTTACACAATATGTACATCTTTTTCTACTTTTCCTTTTTTATGGCTATGTTATTAAGTTCTTGTTTTTTTTTTAAAGAATCTCTTTGCTTTCTTTCTGTAGTTATCAGGAGCCAGAGTATTTTATTTGCTACCATCCACTCTATATTAAAAAAATGCAGGAAAATATTAAGAGATGTTTTAAATAATCCAAGTTTTACAAGATAAATTATTTGTTAAATTCAGACTTTCAAGGCAATATGTCCCACCTATACGGGCAGAAAAAGGAAATAGCATCACAAAAAGAAAATAAAAACACTACACTTACTTTGGGCTTTAGCTCTGCCACCTGGAAAAAGAACAGCCCTCAGCTGAACAGCAAATAAGTATTTTCTTCTGAATACTGTACTTTTTAATTAAATAATACACTTTTTAATGTTTGATATACAAGGCTATATAACAGGGTTGTTTGGTACACAGTGCTGTAAAAATCCAGTTGCAAACTAGCAGAGCCCATGATATATGCAAAACACTAGGGGTGCAGCTGTCTGGACTTTAGCTCTTTTCCAGAATTTATTTTCAGAAATTATCAAAACTTCAACCACAACATGGTTTGCTATATGTAAGAATGATTTAGAAAGAGGACACATGTATATGTGAGAGGAAGAGGTCTTTCAAATGATGCATCAAGAAATCACCTAAAAACATAGCTACTCTTCTAAAACCAGCCCTTGCACTATTCCCCAAGGTCACATGATCATAATTCACGTTTGGCAATTAATGTTTCTCAACATCATTCTCAATCTTTCCAGCCATCTTTCAACAGCAAAAGCTTTGCTTAATGACTGTGATTCATTGGGACAGATTTCCTTAAAAACCTGGCCAAAAAAATTGTAAAACTGGCTGCAGCTTACTTAACAATCTTCTTGCTTAGCAATAGAAATTCTGGACCAAACTGAGGTCATATTTGAGTCAAGGACTTCTTGTTCAGATTAAAATATTTTTTTTACTGGTCCAGACCATTAATTCCAACCTCCCAACTTGTACAAATCACAGAAAATTATCCCCCTCCCCCTCTTTTTGCTTTTCTGTAATGTAACATTGAATGAAGGCATATTTCCCTATCCAGATGTCATCCGACAATTATCTGTTAGACAATGTAATAACGTTTGCAAAGACCCACACAAGAAACAGTATGAGCAGGCTAGGGTAGTGAGATTACTCAAGTTTATCTTGTCCTCAGAGAAACCCATCATGATGTTTATTAATTCTGCAGAAATCAATATTCTGGATTTTGAACCAAGAATGGAAGCCAAAACGTCTTCAGCAGAATGTTGAGCAATTCAGTTGTATTCCAAATAGAGGTGGCAGAAACACCTTCTCTTCATTGTCCGCTGATTAGAAAATTGGATTATGCAGAGACACAAGCTGTAATTTGCCATGCAAATCATTATGAGGAAGAGGAAAGATCTCACTACTTTCAATGTGCATAATGGGGCAAGACTAACATCATCTGATTGTGGATAAAATGTCAGGTCCATGAAATTGTTTTTTTCTATGATCTGCATCAGAGAATGGCCACTCTGATTCTCAATCACTTTTAATAATTAAGACCCTTATTATCATAATTGTAATAATTCTTTCTTGGCACACAATTTGGGATGAGTTATTTTCAATGTTTCACACCCTAAAAGTAAAGTCTACTAAGAATATATTTGTTTCTATCTTTAATTCAGAAATAAATGGAACCCTTTCCCTGTCCTGTAATATTTACTTAACAAACTATATTCAAAAATTGTACATGCTAGTGGTGTGATCTGGAATCACAATGTGACTCACCTGATGAACATGTGATTCTCAATATTCCGATCATCCATTTTTACCACTACTGTACAATGAATAATTTATTATTTAATATTTACATTTTAATCTATACAAAATAGCTACCATGTTGATTAATGGTATTTAGAATTATGTACCCACTGAGGACCTTTCTAAATTTTCTCCCATTCTCCTGAACTGAATTGAAATGATCAATGGCTTTTAGCAAAACTTTCACTTGAAACACAAATATGCACATGCACAGTTGGGGAACATCCAATGCACTAGTTAAGGTGTTTGATGAAGACCCAGGAGGCCTAGAAAATTCAATAAGTAACTCTAGATCAGTTATTATCCATCAGCCCAAACTGCCACACAGAACTGTGGTGGTGAAAGGAGTGTCACATGAACCACCTTGAGTCTCTGAGTCTGGAGGGAAAGGAAGGCAGAAATCTAACAAGTAAATAAACGCTGCTGAGAAAGTTATGGGTAAATCCACCAAGTGGGATCTTTTACCAATTATGACTTCCTATAACTCATTACTAAACTAAAGGATAACCAGAAAAGAGAATGGAAGCACACCTGAGTCTTAAGAAATACTGGTGTTGTAGATCATAATTTTGTGCCATTTGGAGAAAGGCAATAATCGAGCAGCCAACTTGATTCAAAAGAAAGTTCTTTTGTTGATTATGTCCTCCTTGAAGCCAACACCTACCTTCAGTTTTTTGCCTTTGTATGGGTTTTTCACATGTTCTTCAGCATCCATTATCAATTCTGTCAAGGTCCGGAACTTTCTCACCTGCAGGAATAAATAGTAAACAGTTGCAGTGAAGTTAGAAGAGAGACAAGAGTACAGTGTTGTGATTATTTTGAAGGCCACCAATTTAAACTGATATATCAAAATAAAGTATATATTTGCTGCATGATTCAATTGAAAGGAAGGCCTTCATTTTGTGAACCTATTTGTGCAGGTTTAAGCAGAAACTAGTAATAGTAGAAAGATTATTGTCCTGTCAATGGGAAAATTATTTTTCTTTTTGTTTTTCTGAACTGAATTTTCTTCCTGCCTTTCATTTTCAAAAAAAGTACATCTATGCTGAGATTATCAGAACACTAACATTTACCATGAACATTTGTCATGCAGGCAATTGACCGATAGCCATAATAATTATACTGGGAATTTGGAGAGACTAATAACCAATGTTCTGTGCTGCAACTATCATGTTAATTAAATCAATGCAAACTTTCCCAAAGTGATGTCCTCAATATGCATTAACAACCATAAAGCTGACTGCAAATTCTAATGACAGTTGCAATGCATCTAAAAAATTCAGTACAGTTAACAGTTAACTGCGAAAAGGAAAAACTAAAATGTGTTTTAAACCATAATTCCTAATTCAAATGTGCAAATCCACATTTTTAAACAGTGAAACTAGGCTTAGCAGTCGCCCTAACCATTCAAGGGAAAATGAAGAGGGAGGGCATGAAAACTTGATATATGGTTAATTTTTGCTGAGGCTTATTCACATGGAATGTAATCAGGGGGAGTGGGACTGTGTCCTTCAAGTTTTGATGAACTTCTGCAATCCCATCTAGCACCCCTGCTAATGATAAGATAAGGAGCTGTAGTTCCTCCACATTTTCCATCGCTTACTCAGCCCTGCTCTATATATCATGGTTCAACATGCAGTCAAATCTGGTCAGTAGTCATCTCTATAGAAATAGCAATGTACTTCTGTAGTTTGAAATTTAACAAGGCAATCCTCTGCCTATCTGTTCAAATAGCAAGCCTCAGCCTCACCCCCAGGCAACTCAGTACAGAATTGTAGCCTGAATACAGTTTAGCAGTTAACAGCAATAAGACAGCCCACATAGAACAAATAGAAACAGAAGAATAGGGAGTGCCTTTTGGAGGAGAGAAAGAAGAGAAAAACTGTTTAGTGGCTTAAGAATATAAAAGATATTGAAAGAGCTCCCAAGACATAAATAGGAACACCTCTATAGGCAAACAGCACTAAAAACTTTGCCATTTATTTATAAAATTTATTGGCTGCCCATCTTACATGGTAATTCTTACCGTAACATTGGAACTGTTACTGGATCAAATGCTCAAATTAACGAATGCAGTGTATTTGCTAGGCAAGGTCATTATGTAAAGCATCGTTTCAGGTCAGTCCTCTTTGAGCTCAGAAAGCAATTACCTCATTGGATATCTCAATCCATTTCATCTTGCACATATCACCAGAGAAGTCTTTGAAGGCGACTTTATCCCAGTCCAAATGGGATTCCGTGGTTTTGAACTTGCTGCCGTCATTGGAGGGCAGGTTATTTTTCATGCACTCCAAGAGGGTCAGCATGTCTTCCTGGGTCCAACGGTCTGGAGGAAAAGCAAAAAGGGAAAGAACGTATTATACCTGAATTTTATGTTTCTGAGGATCTATTCCCAAATCAGTGCACTTCAAATGCCCTGGCATAGCAACCTAGTACCTGTCAATGTCAGCATGGTCTTTGGAATTCTGGGAATTATAGTTCCACTATATTTCATATTTAAAGTTTTAAAAGAAACAGCAGCTAGAAGTGTTTTTTTTAATATTACAGGAAGCAGAGAAACATTGAGCCTGGCAATTATGATTGTTAATTCGTGATGATCATAACCAGATTTTTTACCATATTTTGCAGGCAGTTGTTAAGTGAAGGGCACAGACATTAAGTGAATCCATTATTCACTTGGGATGTTCCCCCCCCTCAAAATCAGAAGTAAACACCAGTTTTTAGCAAAAACACTGTAAACCATTGTCACATGACTGTGGGATACAGCAAATGGCCATAAATGCAGACTGGTTCAAGGGTCTAAAATGCAGTATCGTGAAGTAGGGATGGGAGTGGGGGAACCACTGGCTGGTTTTTTTAATCATACATTTTATATTTTCATCACATCACATTCAGATAATATAGGAACTTTAGAATAACCAAACGGGTAGCTCCAACTGCACAATTTGTTGGCGGGCAGCTTTGAGAATGTATTCATGGTTAACCATCATCATGGTCACTGTGTTTTCTAAATACAGACTAGAATGACCGATAAATTTGCTGTTGTAGTCAGCAGAAGTTGCTGTTGTAGTCAGCAGAATAGTGTTATATATTATTTGTGTGGTCATAGAAAATATCTAAGGATGATACTTTTGCAAAGTTTTTCTTCCACATTTGTTAACTATTTGCAATAGTATTCAGCCTCATTTGAGATTATTTTTAACGACAGTAGCTAAAGATCTTTAAAAATCAATAAATAATATTTATTTAAATATCAATAAGTAATATTTATTTAAAATAAATAAGTAAAGTTGAATATTTCAAGAAGGGGCAGCTGGGAACATGATTCTGCATAATTTTCTACTGCTTTTCCAGGAGCATTCCTTCTCACCTTGATTTTTGGGGGCTGTCATTTCTAAATCAGTTGGACTATCTGCTTCTCCGTTCATCCTCCACTTCACAGACCCAAGGGTGACACCTCCTGGGTCTCCCCTTTCCAGCTTCCTGTCTTCCCCCTTCACGGTGGCGTCAAACAATTTTCACCCTGAAAAAAACAAACTGTAATAAGGATCTCTGCTTACCAGGTTACCTTCACAAAGAGGTACAAGAGCCATTTGGTTAGTAACTCCTGGAAATTAATACAAGAATTAAACAATTCTTGAACCTGGAACCTGTAAGCTATTCATACATTCAAGAGCAAGTGGGAGCTGAGAGAGAAGACAGGTACCCGCAGTGTAGAGCTGAAAAGTTTTGTATAAAATTGAGGAAGGTACAAATGGCCCAAGATCGCTACACAAATAGCATAGAATTCTGTCTTCAGTATACTGTGATAGAATACTTAGCCAATTCAAATTCAATAAATAAATAAAATTCTAAGGGGAAAGGGAAATGGGGCTTGGTGGGATCTGATTTACTGGGGAAAACCCCCCAGTGATGGGGGGGGGGACTGCTTCAAACAGATTCCATTTTTCAGGTGAGGGAGAAATTACTAAAACAGAAGTGGGGAAAAGTTGGCAGATTACAGTAAAGGAACCAAGGGGTGGTGGTGGAAATCCAAGGAAACTGGCCAGCTAACCTAGTAGTGATCTTGCATTAGTGAAGCTCAACCACAAAGATCACTGGACAGTTAAGCCAAACCCGCGTCACAGTTAAAATTAGGGAATAGAAAGACCTTTGGCGAAAGACTAAAATACAGATTCTAGCCATAGGGGTAAGAAGCAATAATAAAAGTAATAATTTCAGACAAGTAACAATGAAAATCACAACTGAAAATAAAGAAATGACCGAGAGCCTTGGTATCAAAGTAGAATTATTACGAGTGAGATGTCAGCCAGCATTAACTACAGAGGGAGAAGAACCTAGGGATCAGAGCGGATCTCTGGGCGAAAGAAATGAGAAATCGCAGATTTTCTTGGACCAGCGAGCGGATATTCTTGGAAAGAAAATGCTGCACCCAGCCACAAGGTGGGCGGAGTAAAGGCGAATCGGGCGGGAGGAGTGGAGAGGAGGCAGGCCAGGCAAAGGGGAGGGATCTGCGGACCTCTCTTCTCTCCCTCCCTTTCCACCAGCTCTTCAGAGGCCGCACCATCGCCAGCCAATCTCCGTCGCCGCTTTCCTGCAGCAGCAGAAGCGCAGCTGCTGCTTGCTACCCTCCCCCTCTTCGCCTGTCTCCAGGCAGGCGGGAGAGCCGGGCCGAGCCGAGCCGACGGAGCTGGTGGTGCAGCTGCTTCTGCTTCGTCTCCTTCCCCCCGCCTCCTTCCTCTCCGCACGCCCTGCGGGCGCCACCGAAGGGGAAATCTAGCTGCCGCCGCCACCTCGCTTGCCTGATTTCGCTCCCACCCCAGTTTTTTTTTTTTCAACCCCAGCTCGGGCTCCAGCCTCCTGGCCCCGTTCCTTCGTTCCTCCCCGCCTTGACTCTCGAAGACGAGAAAGGCAGTGTTTCGCTAGGATCTCGCCCCCGTCGTCTCTCGACAATGCCAGCGTTCCTCGCCAACCAACTTCAGTCGTCCTTCCAGGAAGGGGGAACGTTGAGATCGCCGGATTCCAGGATCTTTTCCCTCCTGCCGCAGGATTTCGCTGCCTTCTTCCTTTCTGATTCGCTCTACTGGATTTCTACGGGATTTATACAAGATCTACACATACACACAACTGCGTTAACAGAGATCACCCTCCGGTTCCCCGCGGAATCCTCCCTTCGAAAATAATCTTAAGGAAATCAGCTCGTTTCCCAACTCCAGAATTTCCCTTCACTACTAGAAGATCCCTTTCTTATCCCAATAAATAAGACTCGCATCCTAGCCCAAGCCACGATCCGTAAAGAAGGCAGCCTTCGATACAGTAAATCGTTCGTTTATCCCCCTTCGGAGAATCTAGCGGGGGAGGCGAACTCCCGCATTGTTCCCCGTCGATCAGGCCACTAAAGAAAGAACTTCGCCCCCCCCCCCACAAAAACCCTGTACCAGAGCACGAAGCAGAGGATTCCGCTTCGTCGGCCGGGAGCCAGGCGCCGAATACTGCTCAGCGTGTTGCAGAGGAAAAGGGAGCAGCAAGCGAGTTCCGCGTCTGTCTTCTCTCCGTCGGTGTAACCTCGCCGAGGCGGTTAATAAGGATGAGACAAGCCCGCCTCGTTGTGGCGGCGGCAGTCGCGAGTGGGGAGGAGCAGGAGCCGGAGAGCCGCTGCAGCAGCAGCCCCATCGGAGCCGCTGGTGGAAGGGGGGCGGGGATGGTTGGCTGGCGGGAGGGAGAAATGAATGCCCGGCTGGGGGCGTCCAGGCAGAGCCGAGGGAGGGCAGCACGTCCTGGCTGCGGCAGCTACTGCCGCCGCCGCCGCCTCCTCCTTTCCCTCTACCAGCGCCCAGACCCCCGGGGAGCGCCTCCCCCTGTGCGCCTAGGGCGCAGGGGAAGTCGGCGGGTCAAACCCCGTTAACCCGATTCTCCACACCCGACCGCAACGTGGGCCCCCCGAAAAAGCTGCTCGTCGAGAGTAGGGGAGGGACGCCAAGCATGTTCGCCTGCATGGAACCACCCTTCGGATGGTGGAGCGCGCTGGCTCCAACCGATCGACGGTCGAAAAAGCCATTTGGTGCCCGAGCTTGCCAAGACCGTCCAACGCGGGAGAAGCAAGGGAAAGTAACAGGAATCCATCGCAGCAGATTCCGTAAAACTGAGGCGAAATGTTTTGCACGTAATTTATAAAGCCAGTGTGCAGCAATTGTGGGAAGGCGGGAAAAAACCCAAGACTCTTCCCCGCCGCATTTGGTTTCTTTCACGGTGCAGGCGAAGAGAGAAAAGCTTACACGATGACGGCTTGTTTCCACCGCTTCTTTCCCCTCACCCCTGGCAGCGCCCTTTTAGTTCTAAAAGCAGCTCGGGCGGGAGCAGGAAAAGAGATCGGATCTCTGCGCCACAACCTGCACCGCCTAGTTTTTCCATCTACCTCCGCCGCGACTCAACGGCGACTGAGACAGCCACCGCCTTCCGATCTCGCCCTTCTATGGTTGAATGCCGCGGCGCGGCCTATCTAGAAGGCGCCCGGAAGACAGGAAAGGGGCCCCGATTCGATTGCCTCCGCCAAGGCTCCGATCGGATTCCTTGGAGAAAATGCAACCCCAAATGCGTTTGCAAATACATATATATATATATATATATATATATATATATATATATAAAGCATCGCGTAGATACGATGACATTAATATACCCGAACTCTCTAAAATGTGCTTGAAAAAAAGGAATATTAAAATTCAATATGTTATTTTGTTTTTTAATATATGCGTCCCAAAAAATTCGACTGAACCCATTTTTTAACCTTACCGAGGAAATTGAGATGCTCGGCGGAAAAAGCAACAACGAATGGTGGTGCCGCCGCCGCAGCCTGCCTCCCAGCCTGACTGCGCTGCTTCACCGCCGGAGCCGAGGAGGTAACAAAAGCGCCTCCCTCCAGCCCCAGATGGTGGAGCACAACGTCGGGCTAATGGCGAGCTCCACACGCGCTCGTACTGCCGCAAAGCCAGCCTCGGCTATAGGCAGCGGCGCCTCGGTTTGTACCTTCTCCCCCCCCCTCTCCCCCTGATCCGTCCTTGCTCACCCGCCCTTCTTTGCAACGGGGCTCCATCCTGGAGTCGATCTGAGGGGAGATTTTTAGTCCCCTACTACGTCTGCAACCTACCTGCAGATCGGAAAGACTTTGGAGAAAAGCTTCCCCCCTTTTCCCCCTTCTTTCCTGGGCTTGCTTTAGCTAGGAAGCGTTGGTTGAATGCACGCCAGCTCTGCAGCGCTGGCCCCGGGCGTGGACTCGCTCCAGTCCCCGCAGAGAGCTTGCACTTCCCCCGCCTCCATCTCCCTGCTTTTTTCTTCCAATCAGCCGGTCTCTTCGGCTCCCGGATCCTTAGGCAACCTTCTTCACAAGTCCCCATTTTTCCCATCTGCTCCCTAGATGGGACTGGTAAAACGAAAACATGTTTCCAGGGCTTCGGTCTCGCTTTCTGTGTTTGACCTCACCAGGTTGTGGGTTTAACTTTCGCGATTCTGGTGTGTGTGTGTGTGTGTGTGTGTGTGTGTGTATGTTTTTATTGCTCTTTAGTTTTGCAACACTGTAGTCAAACGGAGAGGGAGGAGGGGAAAGGAAAAGAGAGAGAGGAGGGGAAAAAAACGCTTACATTTGCCACAAATCCTCTTCGTTTGGCGTTTGTAAAACGAGTACAAATCACACGCGCTCGATTTTAATTCCTCCTGCGACCTCCCCTTTCTTCATCTCCCTTTCAAAGGATCGTATCGAAAGAACAAGGCAGGGGAGAGAGGAGAGTTTCAAAATTACAACCCGGAGAGCGCTAGCTGCTGCAATACCATCAGATTATTTCTGAGGGCAGACATATTTTTGGCAACAAGCGAGCTTTATTTTAAGGTCCCATTTTTCCTTATAAACAAGCGGGGCAACACCTTGTGTCCCGTCGAATTTTATTGACGATTGTTTTAGGATTGGATTCTAAATCATTGCTTGAAAATGACATTCGTGTAAATTTCAGTCAAAAGCCGAGCTTCTCCTCCCCCATTTTTTTCTCGCTCTCTCTTCTTTTTTTCCAGCTCCACCTTTGTTGTTAAGGGCGTCATCTCCGACAGAGCCAATCATCTTCTGGAGTTGCCTATCAAATTAAACCCGATTCTAATACGCAACGCGACTTTTATAGACCTGCCAAAATGCAATTAGAATTATGAGGGATGTGGGGGGGGGAGGTGACTGAGGATTGGGAGATAAGCTAAAAATAGTGAATGAGCTGCCTCTACATACATACAAACAAAGATGAACGACCGTATGTTTGGTTATTTTCTCTTTTTGGTGTGGCAAATTGAGAGAAATGGAAAACAATTCTCCGGGCCTTGCCTTCCTTCCTCCTTCCTCTCCACCATATAGAGGACATTAGGGTATGTATGTGGGGGTATGTACAGATGGGGAAGGGAATGCTACAGCATCAAAATATATGAATTACGTTTATGAGTGAAATAAAAGAGCTCATGAAGTAGAGCTATTATTCACTATCCTTCACATTATACTTACATACAGAGAGGGAAAATTTATTTGATCTTCTATTGATTTTGTACATTTGCCCACTGACAAAGATATGATTAGCCTATAATTTTAATGGTAGGCTTATTTTAACAGTGAGACATAGAATAACAACAACAAAATCCAGAAAAATGCATTTCAAAGAAGTTATAAATTGATTTGCATTTTAATGAGTGAAATAAGTATTTGATCCTTTATCAATCAGCAAGATTTCTGGCTCCCAGGTGTCTTATACAGGGACACCTCCTTCTCTTAAAGGGAGTGCTCCTAATCTCAGTTTGTTACCTATATAAAAGAAGAAATCAATCAGATTCCAAACTCTCCACCATAGCCAAGGGCCCAAGACCAAAGAGCTGTTCAAGGTGATCAGGGACCAGATTGTAGACCTACACAAGGCGGAAATGTGCTACAAGACTATCGCCAAGCAGCTTGCTGAGAAGGTGACAACACTTGGTGCAATTATTCACAAATGGAAGAAACAAAATAACTGTCAATCTCCTTTGGTCTGGGGCTCTGTGCAAGATCTCACCTCGTGGAGTTTCAGTGATCATGAGAATGGTGAGGAATCAGCCCAGAATTACACAGGAGGATCTTGTCAATGATCTCAAGCCAGCTGGGACCATAATCACCAAGAAAACAATTGGTAAGGGTAAAATCCTGCAGTGCCCACAAGGTCCCCCTGTCAAGAAAGCACATATACAACAAGCCTATCTGAAGTTTGCAAATGAACATCTAAATGATTCAGAGGAGAACTGGGTGAAGGTGTTGTGGTCAGGTGAGGCCAAAATCGAGCTCTTTGGCATCAATTCAACTCAGTGTTTGGAGGAGGAGGAGGAATGCTGCCTATGATCCCAAGAACACTATCCCTACTGTCAAATATAGAGATGGAAACATTATGCTTTGGGAGGGGGTTTCTGTTAAGGGGTCAGGACAATTTCACCTCATCAAAGAGAAGATGGACACGGCCATGTACCGTCAAATCTTGGGTGAGAACCTCCTTCCCTCAGCCAGGGCATTGAAAATGGGTCATGGATGGGTATTTCAGCATGACGATTGAAGACACATAGACAAGGCAACAAAGGAGTGGCTCAAGAAGAAGCACATTAAGATCCTGGAGTGGCCTAGCCAGTCTCCAGACCTTAATCCAGGGATATTCAAACTTGGCCCTTTTATGACTTGTGGACTTCAACTCCCAGAATTCCTCAGCCAGGCTGGGAGTTGAAGTCCACAAGTCATAAAAGGGCCAAGTTTGAAGACCCCTGCCTTAATCCCATAGAAAATCTGTGAAGGGAGCTAGAGGTTGGAGCTGCCAAACATTAGTCTCAAAACCTTAATAACTTGGAGAGGAGCTGCAAAGAGGAGTGGGACAAAATCCTTCCTGAGATGTGTGCAAACCTGGTGGCCAACTACAAGAAATGTCTGACCTCTGTGATTGCCAACAAAGGTTTTGCCACCAAGTACTAAGTCATGTTTTGCGAGGGGTCAAATTCTTATTTCACTTATTTTCTGGATTTTTTTTTTTGTTATTCTGTTTCTCACTGTTAAAATAAACCTACCATTAAAATTATAGACTAATCATTTTTTGTCAGTGGGCAAATGTACAAAATCAGCAGTTCAAATATTTTTTCCTTTACTGTACATTTGAAAGAACACCATTTTAGGTTTCAAAAACCTGAACAATTTTAATATTTTGTGAGATGAACTAAATGGCAAATCCATTATAAAGTAGAAGCTGCAATAGGAAAAATAATCATAGCAGATTATATTTTGCTTTTTTTTTGGCAGTTACCTGCTGCAAAATACTACCATCAAATTACAGGTCATATTTGATTCTATGAACAGAGAACCCAATTCTAGATCTAGTGGTGTTTTGCAAACCTGGGTCACAAATAAGGATCTAAAATATGAATCATTGTGGATTTTCATGGTTTTTAAACAGTCCAAAAGTCAGCATAATAACACTGGTTGCCTCTGTTTTCATTGATAACGTATTTTTATTCCTATGCTGGAAAATTGTATCCAAGGTACAGATACACATAGATCTTCCCAATTCTATATTATACTTGTCTGAAACCACTGTCCACATCAATAGATGACAGCAATTTTTGAGGCTGTCACAATACCAAAATACCTATCTCAAGAACAAATCCTTGTCAACTCTCAATATAATTATATTGCTCCAATTCAAAATTCAGAAAAACCACATCTGGACAACAGAAGTAATGTATCTTTTTGACATTATTTTTGACAATGCCATGATGCAGAACATAATGTAGAAATTAACAATTTTTGTTCACTTAAAGCTATGTCAGGTTACAGGAAGAGTCGTGAAAATTATAGTTTGGTTATTTAAGGTGATATCTTGTAGAAAAACATAGATTTAAGCATGGATATTTACAAAAGGATTTTTTTTGTTTATGATGATAAATCATATCTTTATACTTCCTTTTTGATCCACTGTTGCCATAAGCATGATTCTGTGACCCTAATTTTTCCTAATATTCAGGTTCTTGGGCCCAGGAGCAGATAAAATAATTATTTTCTTGATCATCCTAGCACAACATATGGATGTGGTTGCAATTTGTTATTTGATCATCATTTTGAGTCTTCATTTGCAGTAATCCATTCTATAAACTCAGAGGAGTTATGACATTTTTCCACTATCGGGGCACTGTAAAATACAAGATTCTTTAAACTGTGAGGATCTGCAATGATCCAAACTTGGCTTTTAATCAAAATGACTCCATGAAATACATAATCTAGTCTTTGTGTGGTGATGTGCAATTTTAGATTGTTCCTGAATAAACATAATGATGATTTGAGTGGTCTATTGATCTGGTTTTTTTTGTAGTATAAAAATAACTAGAGCATGTTTTTTCTGGTTTATACATGGGAACATACTGATGAACTAAAATTAATCTATAGGTCTACTATAAAAAGTTAATTAATATCCTAAGTTTTATTATATCTGTTGAATTACATTATAACAATATATTGTGAATAGTTTCTTTAATGCATGGAGGATATTTGACAGAGGTTTCATTGGCTCTGATGACACAGTGAATTAAATTCCATAGTCAATTATTCATACTTTAATACTTTATTTTAATAGTATTTGATACATTTCCTACCATTTGTTCATGCTTAGTATTGGGATATTGGGAATTATAGTTCTACAGAAATGGAAGCCATACATAGGGGTGACAGAAAGCTGAATTAGTAGATGAATCACAAAAATTATATCCTTGGTGACTTTGTAAGTAGCACATTCTAAGAATTCATATGCAATCAAGATAAAGTATGAGCCACTCTAGGTGCAACCAATGTTGGAGGCAATTGAATTAAAATGCTTGAAGACTGAGCATCTTATGTTTAAGGTCTTGTTTAGAAATGTACCCAAATGATATTTTCAAGGGGAAGCATACTCAATGGAAGTTGAGTCCCAATTCTCAGATTAATTCCATCAAACAAGAGTATATTTTAAATTAGTAGCACGCAGCCTACCATTCCAGGCAATTCTCGGAACATTCTTATTTATTTTATCCTGCCTTTATTATTTTTATAAATAACTCTGACAGTGAACACACCTAATGCTAAGGATTCTTTGCCTAAGAATAGTCATTGCCTCTTCTTGTCCCAAAGACAGCAGTATTTTGTAATGCAAATTCCAACTTATGAATTTTATCTCCAATTTTTAGTTTTTATGTATAGTAGGTAGAAATTAGTCAAACAAAATAAGAATGATCAAGACTTGGGAAACCTATGAGAACATTAGTTCCTACACTCACCATCCAAAGCCCAGTGAGAGGTCAAACTCAAGATTTCAAATATTCATTTCACAAGATCAATTGGAACTAGCTTTCTAGAGTGAACTAACACCAGTATAACAACATGTTACAAATCCACCAAGAACAGAGGTGGTGCAATCATTTTGGATTTCTACATGAATCTGCTGGGTGAAGTCA